TGCTCACTTTGCATCTTATCTCCCTACACTGTGCCTTCCTATAAGTATATAAGACCAAATGGGTCAAGGGAAGGTTGCTAATGGTATGTCTGTTTTTGCCCAGTCCTTCGAGTTATGGAAATAGTGAGTAGGTAGATGAAGTTGAAGGATGGATAGGGATTTAGAGATGGAAGACCAGATTTCAGTTTCAGAGGTTTTAGGTATGCCACCTGTGTTGTGAGAAGGATCTTGTGAGGCAAGTGACGTCATGAGGAAAGTAAGGGACAGAAAAACGAAGTAACTCATTCGAAGTGTCGTTTCAGTAAGTGTCAAGTTTGTCCAGACCTTGTGTTTGTCGCATCCACTCTACTTCAACTATTTACCTCACGGGCTCATCAAAAGACATAAATCTGTGTCCAGTTGCTGTAAGTAATACATGAAAAACTTACTTATTTTTGGTAATCTTATTTTTTTTTTTTTTTTTTTTTGGGTTTTTCGAGACAGGGTTTCTCTGTGTAGCTTTGCGCCTTTCCTGGAACTCGCTTTGGAGACCAGACTGGCCTCGAACTCACAGAGATCCGCCTGGCTCTGCCTCCCGAGTGCTGGGATTAAAGACGTGTGCCACCACCGCCCGGCTGGTAATCTTATTTTTAGTTATTGCTGCTAAAACTGAACTTTTGTGTGCGTTTTGCCCGAATCTTTTGTATTGCTTGAATTTCCCTGTTTTTTAAAACTAATAATCACCAAGAAAAAAAGGAGAGTTACACTTAGCTGGTCCCCTCCTTCATCCTCCCCCATCCCCATCTCCCTTTTTTCATGCCTCCCCCTTTCTTTTTTTCTTTTTTGACCCCCCCCCCTTTTGGCTTTTTGAAACAGGGTTTCTCTGTGTAGCCCTGGCCGTTCTGGAACTCACTCTGTAGGCCAGGTTGGTCTTGAACTCAGAACTCAGAGATCTGCCTGCCTCTGCTTCCCCAATTGCTGGAATTAAAGGCGTGCACTGCTGCCCGGCTCCCCCCACCCCCCTCTTCTTTCTTTCTGCCTGGAACTTACTCTGTAGACCAGGCTGGCCTTGATCTCATAGAGATCTGCCTGCCTCTGCCTCCCTACTGATAGAATTAGATGTGTGCCACTATGCTCACCTCCTTTATACTTTTTTATTTTTTATTTTTCTTTTTGGTATGAGTGTTCTATCTGCATGTATGCCTGCATGCCAGAAGAGGGCATCAGATCTCACTGTAGATAGTTGTGAGCCTCCATGTGGTTGCTGGGAATTGAACTCAGGACTCAGGATTTCTGAAAGAGCTACCAATGCTCTTAACCACTGAGCCATCTCTCCAGTTCTCCTTTATAATTTCTTAAGTGTGTGTGTGTGTGTGTATCTGTGTGTGTGTGTGTGTATCTGTGTGTGGGTGTGTGCATGTGAGTGCAGGTGCCTGTGAAAGTCAGAAGAGGGTTTTGAGCCACCAGAGCTAGAGTTACAGGCAGCTGTGAGCCACGAGGTGTGATGAGTGCTGAGTCCATACTCAGGTCCTCTGCAAGAGCAGTATGCGCTTTTCCATCCACTAGCATTTCTTTTAGAAATGTGATGATTGGGCCAGAGAGATGCTTCAGCTGTTAAAAGCTAGGCTCACAACCCAAAATATAAGAAATGTGATTATTGGGAGAAAAGATAATATGTATGTTTTGTTGGTATTGCATTTCTTTTTATAGTTTACCTATTATTAGCTTTTATTCAGTTTTTATTTTGGTTGTCTTTCGTTGATTTGTAGAAGCCCACTTACGTATAACTTATATTGTAGACATTTTTGTTTATGATATCTTTCATTTCATTTTTCTGTAAACATTTTTAGTTGATTTATTTGAGATTGGGCTCATTTAGTATATATTGAGATAGATACTGATATATATATATATACATACAGTATATATTTAGTATATATTGAGATTGATACTGATATATATATATACAGTATATATATAGTATATATTGAGATAGATACTGATAAATGTACATACAGTATATATTTAGTACATATTGCGATATATACTGATATATGTACATACAGTATATATTTAGTACATATTGAGATAGATACTGATATATGTACATACAGTATATATTTAGTACATTTTGAAATAGATACTGATATACATACATACAGTATATATTTAGTACATATTGAGATAGATACTGATATCCGTACATACACTATATATTTAGTACATATTGCGATACTGATATATATATATACACATACAGTATATATTTAGTACATATTGCGATAGATACTGATATACGTACATACAGTATATATTGCCGCCGCCGTCGGTGTAGGGATTGAGGAGTAGGTGGAGTAAGGAGAAGGAAGGAAGGTGAGCCGCCAGCTCCTTAGGGAGAAGGGCAGCCGTGCCGAGTGCAGGGCAGACTCTGCTGTATGTCAGTCAGTGCTCACTGCTGCCCGCCGCTTCCTTCGCTGAATGTTTGGTTTCTTTAGTCTGTGGTGTAAAAACAAGGTGAGACCAGGACTGTAATTACCATGTTTTTACATTTTGTTTCTTTTTCTGCGTGTGTGTGTGTGTGTGTGTGTGTGTGTGTGTGTGTGTGTGTGTGTCTGTCTGTCTGTCTGCTGCGCGCGTGCGTGCGTGCCATAGTTTAGGTGTGGAAGTCAGAGGACAATGTGGAGTTGGATCTCTCCTTTCCGTGTAGGCTCCAGGGATCGAACTCAGGTCCTTAGGCCGACAGCAAGCGCCTTTACCCTCCAAGCCATCTCGCTTGCTCCCTCATTATTAACCTCTAGTTTTGCTGTTTCCGTGGAGTACCTGCATGATCTCTGTCCTTTTCTTTTTCTTTCCTTTGTATGTGTTTAAGCCCCACTGTTTGAGTGAAGAATCACTGTGTAATTCTAAAAAGTGACACTGATTAGAAACTGTCATTTCCTCCAGAAGCAATAAAGTAGTCAGCCTCAAGCTCAGTTCTTGGTAAATTATACATGTGATTGTGGCTTTCCTTATTGTCCGATTCTTCAGCACTTGACACAAATGTCTTGAGTTTTAGAGCCAAGGTGTCCATTCAATAGGTTGTATTTTAGTCACTTACTTTTGAATCTTATTATTATTATTGTGTATGTGTGTGTGTGTGTGTGTGTGTGTGTGTGATGTTTGTGTGGGTGCACATATGCCACACACACGTGGAGGTCAGAGGACAACTTTCAGGTGTCAGTTCTCCCCCCCTCCCCTCCTTTACATGGGTCCTGGAGACTGAACTTAGTTTTCCTTGCTGAGCCATCACATTGGCTCCCTGTTGATGTGTTTATTTGTTTGGTTATTTTGAGACAGTTTCTTGTATCCCAGACTAGTCGGAAACTTGCTGTGTAGTTTCTTGAAGGCTGGTCTTGAACTCCTGATGCTCCAGCTTCTACCACCTGGTTGCAGGCACATGCCTCCAGCCTGGCAGCAAGATTTTTTTAAACTTAGATTTAATTAATGAATTAGAACTTTTTAATATAACAGGAGATCTGCAAAGGGAGATATGAAATCTTATACCTTTGTTTATAAACAGTTTACAAAAGGGGGTGTTTCAGTGACTTAAGTGAATAATAGTTCAAAAATGAAGTGGAGAAGCTTTTTTGCTGAGCCAAAATGATAATAGATGCATGTTGAAGCTTTATAAAGGGTAGATATAATGAATTCCATTTTACTTATCTGAAAACAGATGAGATGCTAGTGAACTGTCCAGGATCACACAAGTAGAATGCACTAGAGCAAAGATTCAGACCAAGGCTTCTTGATTCGAAGGTCTGTTCTGTTCACTTTCTTCTCTATGTAATTTCTTCAGAACTTAGTTGCAGAAAGGTAGGGAGCTGGGCGTGGAGGTGCACACCTACATCCCCAGTACTGGGGTTGAGGGCAGAAGCAGGTAGATCTCTTAGGAGTTGGAGACCAGCCTGGCTTCCATGGTGAGTTCCTGGACAGCAGGGTTACGTAGCGAGACCTTGTCTCCAAACAAAATAAAAACAAAACAAAAAAGGTAAGGAAAATATATATGTGAAGAATAAGAAAACTGGGTGCTTTTAATGCTAACTTGTATGATTAATTTGAATTCTATAGTTTAACCCAGGGTCAAGTATTGAAGAGTATATTATAGCAGGACACCAGCTTTTTTCTTTTTTTTAGAGTTTGAAAAGAATCATGTAGAGAAAAATCTTTTCAGTGTTCTTAGTTTCTAAGAACGATCTGGGTTGTGAGAGTTGTTTTCTCAAGCTGAAGTGCAATCTTGTAGGACAATGGGATTTGTATGTGCATGCATATTCAGTCACTATTCCTGCTGTCTGCCTCTTCATAACTGTGCTCTCATTGTCAAAAACAGCCCCCCTCCCCCTCCCCCCCCAGGGTTTCTCTGTTTAACAGCCCTGGCTATTCTGCAACTTGTAGGCCAGGCTGATCTCAAACTCACAGAGATCCACCTGCCTTTCCCTCCCGAGTGCTGTGATTAAAGGCATGTGCCACCACGCCTGGCTCCTCAAAAACAATTCTTTAAAACTGGTTTGTTATTTTTATGTGTGTGTTTGTGTGTGAGGTTCTGTGCACCACAGGCATGCAAGTGCCCGCAGAGGCCAGAGGGCATCAGACCCCCAAATAGATGGTTGTTACAGGTGGATGTGAGCCACTTAATGTAGGTGATGGGAACTGAACCCAGGTCCTTGCAAGAGCAGGAAGTGCTGTAACCACTCAGCCATCTCTTCAGCCCCTTTATCAAAAATTTTACTTGTTTATTTTTGCATTGTTTTTGGTTACATTCTGAGGATTAATATTACTTTACATTAGAACATTAGAAAACTTATTTTTGATTCAGGTAATGTTATGAGGTGGCTTTTATTTATAAAAAGGATGCTGCTGAATAAAGATGGCCTTGATTTGGAGAGGTGACTTGGGTTAGACCAGTTGAGTAAAGTTGTCCTGGTAGTAACTGAAATTAGAGCGTCAGGTGTTTAATATTTACATGTCTCCTCTTCTGTGTTTAGGACATTCGGAAATTCTTTGGGGTTATATCAAGTGGAAAAAAGCCTGTGAGTGAGGCCGTAAAGAAGAATGAGAAAATAAAACCTTCGGAGGGAACTGTCAAAGGAAAGAAAGGAGCAAAGGAAGTCAAGGTGAGTTTCCAGGTCCAAGTTTGTACTGTGTGGGGTGTCCAGGCAGCTGGGAGGTGTGGAATAATTAGAGATTTCAGCGCAGTTCACGGAGGAGGGAGAAAGCAGTAAGGCTGATATGTCTAGCTAGTACAGCGTGGTGTTCGATCCTGATGTTCCCTTCTTTCTTTCTCCTTTTAGTTGTTAAAACTTTGCATTTTGGCTCAGTGGTCAAGAGCACTATCTAGAGGGCCCAGGTCCAGTTTCTAGCACCCACATGGTGGCCCACAACCATTTGTAACTCCATTTACAGGCGATCTGAAGCCTTCTTCTGGCCTCCAGGGGCACCAGACATGCGCACAGTGCACAGACTAATGCTGGCAACAACAACAAAGACAAACAAACAAAACCTTTGCTTCTTTGTTGTTTTTTTTTTTTTTTTCATGACAGGGTTTCTCTGTGTAGCCCTGGCTGTCCTGGAACTCACTCTGTAGACCAGGCTGGCCTTGAACTCACAGATCTGCCTGTCTCTTCCTCATGAGTGCTGAGATTAAAGGCATGCACTGCCAACAACCTGGCAGAATTTTTTTATTTTAAGATCAAAATTTGCCAGCTGTGGTGGCATGGCATGTGCTGGAAATAAAATGAAGAGGGTGAGGCAGGAGTATATTGAGTTTGTAGTCAGCCTGGGTCATAAATAACAAAGCAACAACAACAACAACAACAAAAACCAGGTTTGTTCATAGAGACACGGGGACCTGTCTTCAGATAGATGGTGTTCGACTCTGCTTTAAAGTTTTTGTCTGTTAATTCCAGTATCTGGAGTATATGAGGAATATCTTTATTAAGTGCCTTTGCTCTTGAGTCTGCAGGTCATGTTTTAATTTGATTTAATTTAATACCATGGTCTCAGTGGCTTAAACAGGAGAACCGTGCTTTCTCTGAGTCCTGGGCCTGTTTGTCCATGATGATGATTCTGTGGCTGATGTAGTTTCTAGTGAGGACTCTTGGTTTGCAGACAGCTGTCTTCCTTGTGTCCTCACACAGCCTTTTCTTGGGAGCCTGTGCTCAGGAAGGAGAGATTGAGCCTTCTGGTGCCTGTTCTTACCAGGATGCTAATCCTGTCAGATCAGGACATAGTCCATACCACCTCGTTAAATCATTGAACTTTAATCACTTTGGAAGTTTGTTTGTTTGTTTTGAGAGTGAGTCTCACTATGCAGCCCTGGCTGGTCTGGAACTGGCTATGGAGAGCAGGCTGGCCCTGAACTCTCCGAGATGCCCCTTTCTCTGCCTTCTGAAGGCTGTGACTAAGGACTAGAGCTCCAACATAGGAATTTGGGGATGTAAACATCCAGTCTATGACATTTTATCCATGGCCAACTGAAAGTACTTCCATTCTATTTCAGTCACACCCCCTCCCCAGTATTGATTCATTCTACTCTCAGGTGTAAAGACTGATATCATTTAAATTTCATCTAAGTCAAAGATAAATAAGGCTTGAAGGGATGATTCATTTTTAGGCAAATTCTTTCCTAGTTGTGAACCTCAGAAGCCTGCATACAGTAGTGGTAGAGATTCAGAGTAGACATTTCCATCTTAAGGGAGAGAGAGGGAAGATAATGGCTCTCAAGCAAGTCCAAAACCCAGCAAAGAAATGCCATAATATTTTAAGATGCAGCAATAATCCTTGGTTTTATCGTCTCTTTCGCAGACCCTCTGGGTTACTGCATTCCTGTAAGCCTAGGCAGCAGCCTTGTCCCTGGGACTCCTTAGGGCTCCAGGTAAAGGCTGTCTGGTCTTTTTTTTTTTTTTTTTTGGTTTTTCGAGACAGGGTTTCTCTGTGTAGCTTTGCGCCTTTCCTGGGACTCACTTGGTAGCCCAGGCTGGCCTCGAACTCACAGAGATCCGCCTGGCTCTGCCTCCCGAGTGCTGGGATTAAAGGCGTGCGCCACCACCGCCCGGCGGCTGTCTGGTCTTTTGAAAGTGAAGTTAGTCCTGATGATACCTTCGGAATAACCGTATGGGTCTATTTATGAAATGTGAGAAGTCAGGCAGGATTTCTTTGTTTTGTCCTGTTTTTGGCTCCTTTAGTTAAAATGGGCAGTGTGTTTCTGCATGTATTAATACCTCTTTAGTGATAGTTCAGCTACATCCTTGATAACTTTCTTCAAACTATTCTGTCTCAGTTTTGCAGTGTGGATAGTCTAAGTAATTTTCCAAGTCATCAAGTTTTGGTTAGCAGTACTTTAGTTCCCTTTCCTTCATCCTTCCTTCCTTCCTTCCCTCCCCTCCCCTCCCCCCTCCTTCCCTTCCTTCTTTCCTTCCTTTGTCTTTTCTTTCTCTCTTTTTTAAAAAAACTATTTTACCAAGGTCTAGCTTATGGATTTTTAAAAAATTCCTCATATATTACATCCTCACCACAGTTTCCCCTCCCTCCTCTCCTCCGAGCCCCTCCCCCACCTCTCCTTCCCCCATCCACTTCTCGTTTCCCTTCAGAAAAGTGCAGACTTCCCAAGGATATCAACCAAACGTGGCATGTCAAGTTGTAATAAGACCAGGCACCTCCCCTCCTATTAAGCTGGATGAGGCAACCAATCGGAGGAAAAGGGTTCCAAGAGCAGGCAAGAGTCAGGGACTGTCCCACTGTTAGGAGTCCCACAGGAAGACCGAGTTACACAGCCATAGCATGTATTCAGAGGGTCTAGATCAGACCCGTGCAGGCTCCCTGGCTGTTGGTTCAGTCTCTGTGAGGCCCTATGGGCCCAGGTTAGTTGATTCTGTGGTTTTCTTGTGTAGTTAACCTTTCTTTAGTTTACCATAAGTTGTCAGAACTCAACCTATACCTCATCATTCTGATTCAGAATCTCTTTAGCTTAGTACTGTAATTTCTTATTTTTCATAGAGGACTAGAATACAACCAAGTTATTTTATTTTGTATGTATGTATATATTTATATATGTATATATTTATGTAAGAGTGTTTTATCTGCATGTATGTGTGTGTACCACCTGCATGTCTGGTGCCCACAGAGGCTAGAAGAGAACTTTGGATCCCTTGGAATTGGAGTTATAGGTGTTTGTGAGCCATCATTCGGGTGCTGGGAGTTGAGCTGGGTCCTCAGAGCAAAAAGTGTTCTAAATTACTGAACCATCTCCAGTCCTACAACGAGATTTGGTCCTCTCCCCTTTTATTTTATTTTATTTATTTTTTTGAGACAGAGTCTCATTCTGTAGTTCTGGCTGTCTGGCTTGGACTCCCTTTGTAGACCATCCTGGCCTCCAGCTCACAGAGATGCCTGCTTGTAAGTGCTGGAATCAAAAGCGTGTGCCATTAGGTCTGCACACAACCAAGTTCTTCTTTATTTTTGGTTTTTCAGGACAGAGTTTCTCTGTGTAGCCCTGGAGCCTGTCCTGGAACTCATTCTGTAGCCCAGGCTGGCCTTGAACTCAGAGAGATCCACCTGCCTCTGCCTCCCGAGTGCTGGGATTAAAGGCGTGCTCCAGCACTGCTCAGCCCAACCAAATTCTTGCCTGCAGTTTTCAAAAGCCTATTGCTGTTTCTGTCAGAGAACTCAGTAGGTTGGCCTTTAACTTCATTTTTCCTTTCTTTAAATTTTATTACAGCGACATTGAGGTCTAAATGGGGGAGGGCTTTGTGTAAGTTAGGCAAACTACTCCTGTCGCCGGGCTGTGCTCCAGTTCTTTAAACACTTACCAGCGTGCTGTTCAAGACGAGGCACTGACTTCTGAGATAAAAGAGTTCCACTGTGGCTCTGTTCTTTTCATGAGCTCTCACTGGACTCATGTGTTTTTTGGTTTTTTTTTGGGTGAGGAGTTCTTTTTGTAGCCTTGGCTGTCTTGGAATTTGGTTTGTAGACCAGGCTGGCCTTGAACTTAAAGATCCACCTGCCTTGGCTGGGCTGGACTGAGTTTTTACTCACAGTTCCTTTATGGCATTCTGGGCTCTTTCTAGTATGTATCTCAAAATTTCTCCAGTTTCTACTCAGTACCTAGTTTTAAAGTTACTTCTTTATTTTAGATATATTTTTAATAGCAGTCTTCCATTTTTTAGCACTGAAAATTTCTGTTAGCCAGGCTCTCCAGTAAAACAGAACCAATAGTATGAACATAAGTAGATTTATTACTAGGAATTGGTTCAGAGGATTGTAGAAGCTGACAAGGCTTGCAGCTTGTAAGGTGGAGACCCAGGAGAGCTGATGGTAGAGGTCCAGTCCAGATGCAAGGCCTGAGGATCAGAAGAGCTGAGCATGTGGGTCTACTCTAGTAGAGAGAGGCCACTAGAAGGTGATGGGCTGGGCTGGGAAGTGATTAACCCCAGCACTAGGGTGGTAGAGGCAGGAGGATCTCTTCGAGTTTGAGACTAGCCTGGTCTACAAAGCAAGTTCCAGGATAGCCAGGGCTACACAGATAAACCTGGTCTTGAAAAACCAAAACCAACCAAACACCCCCCGCCCCCCAAAAAAAACCCAAACACCAAACAAACCAAACCTAAAACCTGCCCCTTCCTCCCCTAAAACCCAAAGAAGTGGTAGTCTGATTCCAGTCCAGAGGCAGGAAAAATCGGACATCCTAGCTAGAAGTCAGGCAGGAAGATTTCTCTCTCATTCCAAGGAAGGTTAGCTTCTCAGGGTTTCAGCTAATTTGATAAGACTCAGTTACTTCCTGGAGGGACATCTTTATTTTATTAATTTAAATATTAAACTCATCCAAAAGCACCTCACAGACATTGGAATGATGTTTGGTCAGATATCTGGATCATTTATGATTTGTTATCTCATCCAAAAGCACCTCACACAAACATTGGAGTGATGTTTGATCAGGTATTTGGATCTTTTGTGATTTGTTATCTTGACACACTTAATCACACAGGTTGAATTTCTTGCTTTTTTCCTATTTTGGGTTTATTGTATTGGATTCAGTTATATTTCTCCAAAGATTGTTGGATTGTTCTTTTGGCTTAGCATGTAGTTAACTTGACCAAACTTAGGCTCCAAATTCTTGCTTTCCTGTTTGATGGGCAGCAGGTGAAATCTTGGTTTAGTTTTTTTTTTTTTTTTTTTTTTTTTTTTTTTTTTTTTTTTTTTTTTGAGACAGGTTTCTCTGTATAGCCCTGGTTATCCTAGAATTCACTCTGTAGACCAGGCTGGCCTTTAACTTGGAGATCTGCCTGTCTCTGCCTCTCAGATATTGAGCTTAAAGGCATGTGCCACCACTGCCTGGCTTTGTTTAGTTCTTTTTATTTAGCCTTTTAATACTTTGACCCTCTAAGTACTTGAGTTATTTTATAGAAACAGCACAGGAGGTTTGGGCAGATTTATAGGAAGAATTGGAGACTTTCTTTCGAGGTGTCTGTCTTCAGAGTTACTGTAACTGCCTTTCCTTCTGTTTCCTGACCCAGCTCTTGGTTGTGGCTGTAAATTATGGTTCATTTGTCTTAGTTTTTGAAGTTAGTTGTGTTCTGATATTTTTGAAGTTTTATTTTAATGGACAGAAATACATAGGTATTTCTATCTTCTAAGTCATCTTTTTTTTTTTTTTCCTGTGCATTTTGGGAAAATCTGAGTGTGTTAGAAATGTGATGTTTACAAATACAGGTAACCTTTTGACTTGCCTTTAGTTTTTCAGCATGCATTTGCCAGCGACGGGCTGCCAGTCTAGCTCTTATTTCTGTTTCTATCTTGCATTTTAGGAAGCACCTGTCCTGCGTGTTAGCCACCTTTCCATTACTATCACAAAATAGTATCTGAGATAATTTACTTATAAAGAGAAAGGTTATTTGGCTTGGAGGTTTCCAGTCTGTGATCTGTTGTTGGCTCATTGCTGTGGGTCTGCTCAGGAAACAGCACATCACACTGGGAGTGTGTGGTAGAGTGAATGTTTTCCTCATGGCCAAGAGACAGACTGGTAGAGGAAGGGATAGGGTTCTCTTTCCCCTTTAGGGGCCTTCCACTGGGCTCTGCCTCTTAAAGGGTCTGCACCACCTTGGAGACCAAGGCATTCAGGGACGTTCAAGATCTAGTAAACATCTTGGCCCTCTGGTGTCTGACCCCCTGTAGCACGAATTCTAATTGTTCTTAATAACAAAAACCTGGATTCAGATACAGGGGTAAATGCTGAAAGATCAGAGAACTGAAGGAGCTAGCCAAAGTCATCTCTTACCTCTGCAACTTCCCAGACTGCAAAAAGGGGCCCAGCTCCTGGCTCCACCAGCCTTATATTCCTCTCTCTGCCCGGCCATATCACGTCCCGTTTCCTCCTCCCAAGTACTAGTATTAAAGGTGTGAGCCACCACTGCCTGGCCACTATAGTTAACTAGTGGCTAGCTCGGCCGCCTGATCTCCAGGCAAGCTTTATTTGTCAGAGCACAAACAAAATATCACCACAACATCCTTTTACTCTTTCTTATCTGTGGACTGGTGCTGACCGTGTAGCTGAATAATAGTATAGCTTTTCTGTAAGTCTTCTCTCCTGTGCACTTCTGGTCTTGTCCTGTGCAGTAAGAGCATTCTGACGTTTGGGTTAGATAACTGTTGCATTGGATGATGCTAGTAACGTCGTTATGTACTAGATGTCATAAAAAAACCCGTCTCCCACTTTGTGATAAACAGTGGCTCTAGGTATCAACAGATGTCTCCATGGGGGCAAACTCGCCTCAGTTGACGGCCACGAACCCTGAGTCTAAGGAGAATGCCGGGCTAAGTTGTTCTAATTGCACCCTGCTGTCTACAGGCTAATAACTCCAGTAGAGAGGATGTCTCCAAACCAAAGCCACACAAGAGGAAGAGGATCATCTATGACTCAGGTAACTTTCCTGAGGACCTTCAAGGCTTCAGCGTCTTTCATTTCCCCGGTAACTGTGTTTTCCAATGACATCTGACATTATTAGTAAGTGCTGGGTGAAGAGAGCTTTAACAGCAGAACTTACCAGAACCTAAATATTTTAATGTGTTAAAGGTTTGTTTAGTGAGGGATAGAATATGTAGCATGTCTCAGATTTACTTTGAGTGTGGCTTATTTACTTATTTATTTAGCTCAGGTTATTTACTTACTTATTTAGCTCAGGGATTGGATTCAGGGCCTCACTCATGCTAGGTAATTGCTCTGCCACTGATCTGTAGTTTCAGCCCACATTTTAAAAAAATACTCCCATTAATTTTTTTCAAACTCAGGTTCTTAGAAGTTGAATTTGTTTAAAAAAGAAAGAAACTAAAAGAAAAAAGTACCATATAGTGCTGCTGTTAAAGCAAATATTGAGTTCATTTAATGAATTAATTCATGTGTATATGGGCATGTGTACCAAGGCATTCTAGTGGAGGGCAGAGGACAGCTTGTAGGAGTCGGCTCTCTCTTCACTGTGTAGTTCCTGGGGGTTGAATCTAGGGCATCAGGCTTGGGGTTGGTGTCTTTATTTGCTGAGCCATCTTAATCACCCCAAAGCAAATATCTAAAATTAAGTGTGTGTGTGTGTGTGTGTGTGTGTGTGTGTGTGTGTGTGTGTGTGTGATAGGAAGATTTGATAATTTTATTTCTGTTGAAAAAGCAATAAACACAATTTGAAGGATTTTCTTTGAATATAGTTTTGAGATGAGGAACAGGACTTTTTGTGCGTATGTCTTATTTATTCACTGATTTATTTTGCGATGCCAGAGATTGAACTGAGGCCCTCTGCCTGGTAGGCAAGCACTCTACCACTGAGCCCTACCCCCCTGCTCTGTTTATATATTGAAACAGGATGTTGTGATATTGCCTAGACTCCTAAGTAACTGGACTGCAGGCGTGGGTCAGTCCCCTGCACCCCCCCCCCCCACACGTTACACCTGACTTAATTTTTATTTTATCTGGTATTTTTTCTTCTCACCTATTTGAGTCAAGGTTCTATGAAGCCCAGGTTGGCCTTGGATTCCTATTGTAGCTAATGATGACCTTAGATTCCTGATCTTACCTCCACTTCCTAAATTCTGGAATTATAGGTATGCGCCATTATGCCTAGTAGATATAAAATAATGTAGCCAAGGAAGCATTTGTGTATTATGAATATTTTGGGTTTATTTTGTTCCTTATTCTTTAAACAACATATTTTATATTTTAAATATTTTTATTTTATATATATATATATATATATATATATATATATATATATATAATTTTAGTTGGGCCCCACCGTTGTTGCCCAGGCTGGGCCTGAACCTCTAGGCTCAAGGGCTTCCCTGCCTCCTCTGCAGTAGCTGGTGCTGCAGTGTGTCACAGCATGTAGGTTGTCGGAACTTTCACATGATAGCACAGGGTCTGACTGATTTTTCAAAGTACTTCAATATTTACTAAGTGCATTTTACTGTGTTTTATCATAAGGAAATTGGAAATGTGTACCTGTATTCTCTGAGTTTCCTCTTGGAAATAATTACATTAAACACTAATTTAAAGCAGTATGGTCAGGGTATGGTGACACACACCTGTAACCCCAGCAGTCTGGAGGCAGATGCAGGTGGATCTCAGGCCAGCCAGGGCTAATGGTGAAACCCTGTCTCAGAATCAGAAACTGATCCACGCAGGGTGAGGCCGAGCTTTTAGATGTGTGGACAGAGGGAGGGCAGAGAGTTGATGAATGGGCTGCTTTGTACCAGGCTCTGTGTTAGGTGCTTGAGCCTTGCCCTACACCGCATCGAGTAGTCTGGCCAAGTAGGAGAGTAACGTCTCCAATAGAGCCACAATCGAAATCCTAGACTCTGTGGAAATAAAGCTGCAGATTGAGTCAGATGACCTTAAAATAAGATGGGTTCAATGTGCCTGAGGAGTAGAGAGGCAGAAGAGGTCTGGAGAGAGATTAGAGTGTGAGAATGCACACTCCTTTAATCCCAGCACTTGGAGGCAGAGACAGGCCTGTGAGTTCAAGGCCACCTTGGTCCAGTTAGAGAGCTCCGGGACAACACAGAGAGACCCTTTCTCAACATCCTCCCCCCTCCCAACAAAGAGTGTAAGAAGGTCAGAAACCAGAGCGATGGTAGCACTCTGCTTGAGGTTATTTATTTGTGTGTGGTGTAGGAATTGAACACAGTGCCTTGCATGCACACATGCTACACGAACATTCTACCCCTGAGCTACATCCATAGCTCTTTCAAAAATATTTTTAAAAAGTTAGTGACACAAGGTCTTACTAAGGTTGCCCATGCTGGCCTTTAACCTGTACCCCAGATAAGCCTAAACTTTGAGTCTCCCTGGCCAGGGCCACTCTGCCCAGTTTCTTGGCTTTGAAGATGGGAGGTTAAGAGCTGTGTATCGATGGCAGCCACTAGCAAGTGGAAATGATAAGGAAGTGATTCTTCCCGAGGGAACTGGAAAGGACCACACCCCTGCTGTTGTCCTCATGAGACCTGTGTCAGACTTTGTCAGGAATTGTTAAAGATAATATATCTGTGTTGAACTTCTGTGTGTGTGTGTGTGTGTGTGTGCTCGTGCGTGCGTGCATGTGGAAGACAGGTACTTTGGGGCAGTTGGCTTTCTCCTTCTACTATGTGGGTCCTGGGGGACAGAACTTAGGTCATCAGACTTGACAACAAGCACCTTTACCCACTGAACGATGTCCCCGGCCCACATGTGTGGGTTTTAAGCCACTTGGTTTGTGGTGATTGTTAAAACAGCAATAGGAATCTAATGCATGAGTTCATTACTGGATAAAAGTAATGTAAAAACTCATCAAGAGATGCTCCTTGGGGGATTGGTTCATAATGACCACTTAAAAAATACACTGATATTTCCTTTCATAGTTTTAATTCTTCTCTTGTAGATTCAGAATCAGAGGAGACAGTGCAGGTAAAAAATGCTAAAAAGAAATCAGAAAAATTGCCACTGTCTTCTAAACCTGGTAAAATTTCTCGGAAGGATCCTGTTACTTACATTTCTGAGACAGGTAAGATCCCGAATGTGTTCCTTTTGACTGTTGTATCTGTCAGAGGAAAGGCATCATCATCTGTGGCTAGGTGAATGCTCCACCTCTGAGCTAAGTTCCTAGCCCTAGGGGAGTAGTTTGTCTTTTTTTTTTTTTCCTTGTCGGAGTTGAGGACTGACCCTAGAGCCTTCGTACTCTCTGGGAAAGTACTCTGCCAATGAGCTAAATCCCCAATCCCCAGGGGAATTAAGAAAGAGTTTGGTTTTATGTGTATTTTGTCTGCATATATGTCTGTACCTGTGGAGGCCATATGGGAGTGTTGGATCCCCTGGGACTAGAGTTACAGACAGCTGTGAGCCTCCATATAGGTGCTGGGAATCAAACCTAGAAGAGTAGCTAGCCCCCCCCCCCCCCTATTTTCTTCCTGTGGGTTTTTTTTTTTTTTTTTTTTTTGGTTTTGGTTTTGGTTTTTCGAGACAGGGTTTCTCTGTGTAGCTTTGCGCCTTTCCTGGAGCTCACTCGGTAGCCCAGGCTGGCCTCGAACTCACAGAGATCCGCCTGGCTCTGCCTCCCGAGTGCTGGGATTAAAGGCGTGCGCCACCACCGCCTGGCTCTTCCTGTGTTTTTAAGACATTGCTCTATGTAGCCCTGGCTGTTCTAGAACTCAACCTCTAGACCCGGCTAGCCTCAAACTTAGATCTGCTGGCCTCTGACTCCTGAGTGCTGGGATTAAAGGGGTGCACCACCACCATCTGGCAGTAACTAGTCCTCTTAACTGCTGAGCCATCTCTTCTGCACCTGAACCATTTTTGAAACATGTTTAATAGACTGATGTGTTTCTTTTTGTTTGGTTTGTTTTTGTTTTTACATCCTGACCAAAGTTTCCCCTCCCTCCTCTCCTCCCAGGTCCTCCCCCTTTACCTACCCCGCCCCCCCATCTACTCTTCCTCCTCTGTTGTTCTTCAGAAAAAAGGCAGGCCTCCCATGGATATCAGCCAGCCATGGTATATCAAGTTGCAGTGAGACTAGGCACCTCCTCTTCTACTAAGGCTGAACCCAAGGCAATCCAGTAGGAAGGAAAGGGTCCCAAAGCAGGCAACAGAATCAGAGACAGCCCCTGCTCCCACTGTTAAGAGTCCCACAGGAAGACAGAGTTACACAACGGTAACATATCTGCAGAGGGCCGAGGTCAGGCCCATGCAGGCTCCCTGGTTGATTTAGATTCTGAGCCCGATGAGTCCAGGTTAATTAGTTCTGTGTGTTTTCTTATGGTGCCCTTAACCCCACTGTCTCCTACAATCTTTCCTCTCCCTCTTCTGCAGGATTCCCTGAACTCCACCTAATGTTTGACTGTGGGTCTCTGCATTTATTTAACTGACCCACTTTGATTCTGAAAGGATTTATTGGTAACAAATCATGAGACTCCTGGCTTCTTGATCGGTTTTATTTTTCGATTATATGCAGAGACTGATTTATGAATGAACAGAGATGGGTGTTTGCTGCCTCTCCATTCATTTAATGAACGAGTATTTGGAAGGCCTAAGATTAAGTGACCCTTTCTCTCCCCTTCCAAACCAAGCCAGCAGTGAGAAGTGTTGAAAAGGAACTGCATACATACACTGAGCATTTGCCCAGCTTCCCTGCTTAGAGGTTCACTTGTTGCTAAGTCAGTTATTTTTAATCCTTATAATGAAATCTACCTGTTAATTGGATTTTGGTATGTTCCAGACCAAAGGCAAGACATTCGTAGCATTAGGACAGTCGGATCCATTTGCAGAGGCCAAACTCTCAGCTGCAGGAGCTCTAGAATTAGATTTGTTTTTCCTCCTTGGCTTGTAAATAGATTTTATGATAGACCTTCACATTATCCCTTTCTCGTCCAGCCGTTATCCTTCTGAATAAATGAACATGTCTAACTCAGAGTGGCAGAGCAATCTCCTCTCCTAGGCAATTCCTCTGCTCTGTGTTGGAAAATGCTAGTTTACTCGGTCATTGTTAGCACATTTGAAATTATGTTGTCTATAAATAAAAATAAATGGCATTTTTACAAGGAGACAGATATCCTGGAGGGAAATTTTAAGTGTTGAGTTGCCTATGATTTTCAAGTAGTTGTCAGAAATCTGACTTAGATCTGTTTATCAGTGTTTTATTACAGAATTTGGGGAGGAGAGAACAGCTGGCCTTTGGCTTCAGACAAAGACAGAAACAAATCAGGTTTATTAGAAAACAAGAGGAACTGCACATTGTGTAGGATTGCAGAGTTCTTATTTTACCAGAGGATGGCTCCGCAAAACCGTTAAACGATTGCGTCTTTGTGGGAAGCAAGTTACTGTGTTGTAGTCTTTTTGTTGTTTTTCTGAGCTGCTATCTCACTGTGTAGCCCAAGCTGGCCTAGAACTCGCTAGAATTCTCTTGCCTCAGTTTCCTAAGTGCTGGAGTTACAGGGCTGTACCACCACACCTGGCCACATGGCCTATATTGGCTTCTTTCTACATAGTACGTTGGTGTAGCCTTTGAAATAACTCAAGGCTGAAGGGACTTGAAAGACAGCTAGTTGGTGTAGAGACAGAGTTGTTCTTTCTTGAGGTTTTTTGTTTTTTGTTTTTTTTTTTTTAAAGATTTATTTATTTATTATGTATACAGAAGAGGGCACCAGATCTCATTACAGATGGTTGTGAGCCACCATGTGGGTGCTGGGAATTGAACTCAGGACCTCTGGAAGAGTAGTCGGTGCTCTTAACCTCTGAGCCATCTCTCCAGCCCCCTGGTTTTTGTTTTTAATCAAGGCAAGATGACAAGATGTCTTCAGCTGTGCCTGTGACAGAGTATTCTGGTAGGATTTCCATCACTGTGACAAAGTACTAGGTTCATAATCTCAGAGGCTTCAGTTAGGTGGCTGCTTTGCTAATGGGCTTTTTAAAAGAATAATTCTTCATACTTTTTTCTTTTAGAAAATACTTATTTTTTATTTTCTGTGTGTGAGTGTTTGCCTGTTTCTGTGTATGTGTACCACATGTATGTAATGCCTACGGAGGCCAGAAGAGGGCATAGGATCCCCTGGAGCTGGAGTTACAGCTGATTTTTGAGCTACCATGTAGATGCTGGGAATGGAGCACTGGGTTCTCTGCAAAAACAAGTGCTCCTAAACACTGAACCATCTTTGATCCCGTCTAGGCTTTTGACAAGGCAGAAGATTGTGGTGTAGAGCATGTGGTAGAACAAAGCTCCTCCCTTCAGGGTAGACAAAATGTATCCCACATGTATGGGTGCATGTGCCTCAGTGAATGATTGGAGGTTAGAACACAGTGTGTGGGAGTGAGTTCTCTCCTACCGGGTGAGTCTCAGGGATGGAACTCAGGTCATCAGGATTAGCAACAAAGCACTTGTACCTACTGCAGCATCTCCTGGCTGCTGGAAGTTCTTTTAGGATTTAAAGTGTAACAAAACAAGCAATTTGAAGCCCCATGAGGTCAGTGGGTGTGGTGTGTCTTTTCACTGCTGAAGCAGTTTCTTCTCAGCCCTTTAGTTGCATCCTCAGTGCCTGGTGTATAGTGGGTATGTTGCAGGTATTTATGTAACCACAGGCCTGGCCCTTGTGAATGTAACGCGTGACTGTTAAATTCAGAAGATAGGAAGGAAAAAACAACCCAAGGTATTGCTTTTTCTTTTTCTTTTCTTTTTTTTTTTTTTTTTTTTTTTGTTTTTTTTTGAGACAGGGTTTCTCTGTGTAGCTTTGCGCCTTTCCTGGAACTCACTTGGTCGCCCAGGCTGGCCTCGAACTCACAGAGATCCGCCTGGCTCTGCCTCCCGAGTGCTGGGATTAAAGGCGTGCGCCACCACCGCCCGGCCTGCTTTTTCTTTTTTTTAAAGCTGCTAGAAACGATTACTTTATATAATTAAGACCTATGCTTTATCAAAAAATACTTTCCATTTAAGATGAAGACGATGACTTTGTGTGTAAAAAGGCAGCCTCCAAATCCAAAGAGAACGGAGTGTCTGCAAACAGTTACCATGGAGCATCAACCGCGAAAAAGAATGAAGAGAACACGAAGACCAAGAATAAACCTTTATCACCAATAAAGCTTACACCAACGTCAGTGCTCGATTATTTTGGAACCGAAAGTGTCCAGAGATCTGGAAAGAAGATGGTGGCAAGCAGAAGAAAAGAGGTGAGCACTCTGCACGCACCCACGCACGCAAGCACGCACGCACGCACGCAAGCACGCACGCACGCACGCACGCACGCCAGAGTGAGGATTGCTGGGCATGCTGGCGTGCGCCTGTATCGCCCACACTCGGGAGACTGGGGCAAGAAGATCACTAGTTTGAGGTCAGCCTGGGCTGCATAATGAGGCTATTGGAAACAATAGCAAAAAGAATGTTCAGGATTGACACCCACTCATGGATACTAATAATGGGATATGATGAATGAGCAAGCATGCTTTATTAATAATGAAATAATTTTCTATGGTTATAGATAAATATTGCCCTAATTTTGGAAGCTATGTAGATATGTATTTATTTTTACTTGAAAGCAGGAAACCATTTAACTATCAGAAAAAAATCACAGTTTTTAGAATTTAAGTGGAATTTTCAAAATGCAAACTTATTTTACTATTGCCTTTAGCAAACAGAAGTGCACAATTTTTCTTGAAATGAGATAAACATCATAGTAACAGAGTGTAGCTGTGCTGATCTTCTCTAGTTTGACTGATACTGGATTCATCTTTTTCTGGCTGTTTAGGAAATGGGCATATAGATGAAGTACAGGGAAGGTAGTGCCTCATAGGCTGTGCTATAGTGTGTGCTGATTGGTTGGTGCCTGCACAGGCCTGAGACGTCATTCTTACATCGATTGGCCAGTGTTTTAGACTACTTTGCAAGCCAGAGCATTAACCTATAGTGTGTGTGCGCACACTTCTCTTGAACGTACCAGAAGAACAAAATGAGAACCATCTGTCTGTAGGATATTCACTCTTTATGAACTGACGTCATCAGAATAACCATAATCTTGACTTTGTTGCTGCTGTGGGTTGTGACTATTACCGATAGACCTCTTTCTCACTGATGTGTTCAATTAGGTGTTGCCCCCGCAAAAAAGCACTTTACTTTTAGCCTAATTTACGTTTTGTCTTGCTTGATTTTCTTTGGAATACAGACTTCTCAAAACATGAATGATTCCAGGTTAAATGATGAGGCTATTGCCAAGCAGTTGCAGCTCGATGAAGACGCAGAGGTATTGCCATTCCACTTAATTATCATTAATAACTTGAGGTTGTGACTTGGTACTTATTTACAAATAGTCAAGATGTTCCAGCTTTTTTTTTTTTCCTTTGAATAGGGCATTACTTACTGACTGTCTGTCTGTCTGTCTGTCTATCTATCTATTTATCATCTATCCAAGACAGGGCTAGAACTCACTGTATAGGCTAGTCTGGCCTTGAACTCACAGTTCTACCTCAGTTTTTCTAGATTATGGTTGTGCACAACCATGCTTAGCTCAAAATTGTTATAGTCTAATTTTGAATTGAGCCTCATTAGAAGTTTGGTGTAAAATAAATTAAAATCTAGTATATGGGATTATAAATTCCTGTAAAAGATAAATGATGAGACTCATGGATAATTATTTATGTAAAAATTTGAAGTTCTGTGACTAGGAGGCTCCTCAGTGTATGAAAGAATTTCATTTGTTCCTGTGCCTTTTTGCTTTCACTCTGAGCACACCTACCGTTTCCCATTGTTTGGTCACTGTATATACTGATGACTTCAGTTTGACTCAGGATGCTCTCTTGAGCTGTGAACCCATATCTGACAAGGGTGTGTTCATCACTTACGGAGTTCCTCACACTGCTGTAGCAGTAGGTGACTACAGTTTACATAGAAAACAAAGGTTTAAGAAAATAGAATGCCAGCAGTCACAGGTGTAGTTCTGGGGTAGGTAGGGAATGACTTGTGTCAGAACATGGAGCACAGTGAGTCAGTGGTGGCCACTCAGATCCCCACTAAGCACGGGACAGCAAGTGTAAGCATCCTGAGGAGCAAGTGTGCTCAGCAGACCAGTATGGCTGGGCAAATGAGTGAGAAAGAAGAAAGGTAGGTGATTTGGAGAAATGGCCATCAGCAAGTCCTGTAGGTCACACTGGGTCTTTGATACCCGTGAAAAGAATTTGGATTGGTCAGGACTTCAGATTTAGTTTCTGTGAAATGGTGGCGTTCTTAATAAAGTGACCCGACTTGGTGGGTCTTAAAAGCACACTGGCTTCTCTAATGCAAGCAGGGTAATTGAGGTCCTTCCCAGTAGTTGGGCATGAGCAGAAGCAGACCGGCTTGGAGACTTGTAAGGTGTGGCGGGTGGGAGATGTTGGTTGTATCAGGAAGGAAGTGGAAGAGACGGTGAGAGGCGACTCAAGGCCTCAGAGCTGCTGACAGGTTTGCAGTAAGGGGACCTGAGCAGCTGGGTGAGTGGTGATGCTGTTAATGAGGACCAGAACACAGGGCGGAGGGCCAGTTGGTACAGAGCAGTTAAAAGTTCTGTTAGGGGGCTGGCGAGGTGATTAAGGGTGGGTGACAGGGAAGCTTGGCCACCTGAGTTTGATCTCTGGAACCCACGTTCAGGTAGAAGAGTTGTTGTCTGCTCTCCACATGAACACGCATGCACGCACACTCCCTCACACACATACACAGTAATTTTTTAGAAAGAGTTGTGTTTTGACAGTTAAGTTGTAGATGTCTGATAGACCTCCAGGTGAGATGCAGAGGAGGTAGCTGATGGGAAGAGGTTCACAAGTCTGGTGCTCAGCAGAAGCTGTGTATTTGGAAGTCATTAGCATTTGTGTGGCATTTAATACGTGTATACCTTGGAGAGAATGTGAACAAAAGGAGAGGCTTCCAGGATTGAATACTTTTTTTTTTTTTTTTAAGATTTATTTATTATATATACAGTGTTCTATCTGCAGGCCAGAAGAGGGCACCAGATCTCATTACAGATTGTTGTGAGCCACCATGTGGTTGCTGGGAATTGAACTCAGGACCTCAGGAAGAGCAGCCAGGATCACGGGGTTTTAACATTTAAAAGGGATGAAGAGGAGGATCTAGCAGAGATGAGGAGAGTTGTGAATGAAGGGGGAGATCAGGGGAGCTAGGGGTTTGCAGACACTGACTATGAACGCAGTTCACGGGAGGGCTCGTCTTCCAAAGCTTCAGGTTTAGGGCTTTGTTGAACTCCTTCCCTGTTTCTTAGAGTAGGTTTCTTTTTCCCAGACTCTCTAGACCCTCAGCAACTATTCTTGTTTATTAAACTTGTGATATAAATGCCTTCTGTGTGTAGCTTTCAAGGTCTACCTCCCATAATTGATTATGTCTAAATGCTTGTTGTAGTGCAGGGGCTAGACCGTGCTGTGGTTCTTCATTTCATTAACATAATGCTTCACACGTGATTATTTATTCTTTAGCTGGATGTGGTGGTCCACACCTTTAATCCCAATAGAGGCAGGCAGATCTCTAAGAATTTGAGGCCAACCTGGTCTACATAGCAAGTTCCAGGCCAGCCAACACTATATAGTGAGACCCTGTCTCAGAACAACAAAAAAGAAAAATATCTTCCTGTTTTTGGTTATTTAGAGTTGTATTATTTCTAAACAGGTATCCTGATGACTCAGGGTAGTACAAATGACCTAGGTCAGCCTGTGAAGTCATTCTCAGGGATCTAACTTACCTTATCTGTCCCAAATAGTAGAGGATTATCCAGTTCTTTCCAACGGTATCACAGTTCCATTTCCCCATTTCTGTCACATTCTTTAGAGTCTTTAGTTTAGTAATCTAATGAAAGACTTTTAGGATGTTAATAATTGTTTCCTAATTATCTTCCAAGAGTTCCATCCCAGTTGTACCTCTCTTTATTCATGGTAACTGTATGTCCATTATCTGACACTCAAGTCCATATATCAGATGCCACATGAAGTCAGTTACATTAAACGTTCTGTTAAAACACAGTGTTCTTTATTACAGGCCATAATCACCAGTGGTAAACTTTTCTTTCTTTCTTTTGTTTTTTCAAGACAGGGTTTCTCTCTGTAGCCCTGGCTGTCCTGGAACTCGGAGATCCCCCTGCCTCTGTCTCCAAGTGCTGGGATTAAAGGTGTGCGCCACCACTGCCCTGAATTTTCTAACAGAAGTGTACCGGTTCTTTCTAAAGTACCTAGAACCCCCCTACCATAAACACACCGCAGTGTGTAGTGTGTATTGGAACCAGCGGTATCAAGGCTGCCATAGAGTCTGCAGCTCCTGTGATGAAGACATGCACGTTGATTAGCAGTTAGGTGCCGAGTCCACTTGTAGTGAAGAAATGCTAGCCGGGAACATGTAAGGGTGCCTGCCCTGTCTGCATCTTATAGCCCGACTTAGCATGAGTTCATAGGCTAGGTTTTTGTTTTGCTAGTGGGGATGAAATGGTGGGTCTTGCACATGCTAAGTATGTGGCCTCTATCGGTGAGCTATTTTCCCGTGTGGCTAGTTCATTCTATAACCAGAAGAGCTTGTTTACTGAGTTCTAATCAAGCGTATCCCAGCTTTCAGCTTTCTTTCAGACTGAAAAGGTTTTTGCAGATTTTTCCTGTTTGAATAATATAAAATGTTGTTGGATACTAGGTTGGGCAGTTAGGTTTTCCAGGGTACATGAGATGTTTAGTTTATAATGGTAAGTGAATTTCATTATTTTACATTCTCTTCTGAAAGAAGCTCTGTTTTGCTGAAAGTACATATATTTGGCAATGATAGGTGCTTAGAGTGTCCGTGTGTTAATAGAGGTTTGACAGGGAAAATGGTGGTATTTGTGTGTATAAAGAAAACATACTTTTCTGTTAAATTTTTTTTTATTTTTGTCCTTTATGTGTGTAAGTGTTTTCCCTACATATATGCCTGCCCCACATGTATGCCCGATGCTGTGGAGCCTGGAAGAGAGCAGCCATGCGGGGGCTGGGAATCAAACAGGGTTCTCTGAAGAGCATCTGGTGCTCTTAACTGTTCAGCTATCTCCCAGTGTTAGATACAGGGTTACATTATTTTCTTATAGATTGAGAATTAAAAAAAAAGAATTACTTTTGTTATTTTTAATTATATGTATATGTGTGTGTTTGTATATCGGTATGTACATGTGAGTCCACTTGCCTGTGGGGATCATCAGAGGCATCATATCTCTTTAAAGCTGGAGTTAAAAAGTTGTGAGTCTCCCAGCATAGGTCCTGAGAACCTAACCTGGGTTCTCTGAAAGAGCAGTATGTCCTCTTAACTACTGAGTGTGGTGATATGTTGTGTACCCTAATAAAATTTGCCTGAAGATCAGAGAGACAAAGGAACAAGCCACTGCCATGTCTTACCTCTAGGACTCCTCAACCTGAAAAGCCTTTAGTTCTTGTCTCCTCACGCCTTTCTCCGCCCAGCCATCATTTCCTTCTTAGTGCTGGGATTAAAGATGTATGTGCTTCCCAAGCAAAGACATGAGGTCTCAAGTGCTGTGATTAAAGGTGTGTGCCACCACTGCCTGGCCTCTATGTTTAATCTAGTGGCTTGTTCTGTTCTCTGATCTTCAGGCAGATTTTATTAGGGTATACAATATATCACTACAGCTGAGACATATTTTCAGCCCTATAGGATTGCTTTGAGGGATATTTCTAGAGTTTAAAATACATATAAGTAAGCTGGGGATGTTGGACACACTTTTAATCCTAGTGCTCAAGAGGAAGAGGCAGAGGCAGGTGGATCTTTGCTAGTTCAAAGCCTGGTGTACATAGCAGGTTCCAGACCTTCTAGCACTACATGAGCCACTCACTACCTTCCACAAAAGATGATTGGGAGGAGGATAAGCTAGGCATGGTGGCACACGCTTTTAATCTCAGCACTTTGGAGGCTGAGGCAGGCAGATCTCTGTGAGTTTGAGGCCAGCCTGGGCTACAGAGTGAGTTCCAGGCCAGCCAGAGATGTATAGTAAGACCCCATCTCAAAAAAAAGGGTGGGTGGGTCGGGTAAGCAGGAGAGATGACTCTGCAGTTAAGATCTAACTAATACTGCCTTTGTAGAGGATCAGAGTTTGGTTCCTAGCACCTAGGTTGAGTGCCTTATAGCTGTCTATAACTCCAGTTCCAGGGGATCTGATGCCCTTATCTGGTGTCTGCACTCAAGTGTACATACCCACATAGATGGACATATACACATGAGCTTTTCCTTAGGGTAGACAAGGCCCAAAAACATGTCATGAAGAGATGTTATATTAAAATCATTAAGAGAAAATATGACTTCAGATTTTATAAAGAAATATCACTTTAGAACGTGGCAACCCCATTGGCCAATAAGATGGCTCAGCAGGAAAAAGGTACCTCTACTGAGTCTGAGGGCCTGGATTCAATCCTTGGGACCCACAAGGAGAAAAACAACCCTTACAGATTGTCTCTTGACCTTCTCACGTGTGCCATGGCATGCATACCCACATATACAATAAATAAATATAATAAATTTAAAATACACCAACTTTATTATGCTCTCAGAGCTGAAGTGTAGAGTCTGTGAAGTTAGTTTAGTGAAAGAGGTCTGTGATACTTGACTGTTAATGTTTAGTGTGAAGATGGCATTGTTATTTTAGGAAGCTTTTCTCCTTCTAAACATATGAAGCACACATTTAAAAGCGTTTAGATACAAAAATAACAAAAGCATCTCACTGTGGTGGTGCTTTTACAGCTGGAGAGGCAGTTGCATGAAGATGAAGAGTTTGCCCGAACGTTAGCCATGTTGGATGAAGAACCCAAGACCAAAAAGGTAACATGGTGTTACTCTGTGCGTGTGTGCGTGTGTGAGAGAGGGGGGTGGGGTGGTGGTGAGAGTGAGCTCACGTGTGATGTAGGCCAGAGGTAGATGTCCGGTCTTGTGGTTCTCTACCTTAGTTGAACTTGGAGCTCACCATTTCTTCTAGGTTGGCTGACCAGTGAGTGAGCCTTCAGAATCCTCCTGTCTCTGTCCTCCTGAGCATTGCAGTTATAGGGGTGCACTGCCATCCCTGGCTTTCCCATGGGTGCTGGGGACCAGAACTTAGGTCCCCATGCAGGTGCAGTAAGTGGGGGGACTTTATCCAGTGAGTCATCCCACTAGCTAAATTATTTTAATTTGTAATTTGTGTGTGTGTATGGAAATTCATTTACAAAGTTACTCTTTTTAAAAGATTTCAAGAAATAAAGCAAATCAGAACTTGCCCCACAAAGCCATAGGGATTTTTTATGTATTATTTTATGTATTTTATGTGTTATTTCAGAGTGATGGGTATCAGTTGTACAGGATGAGGGTTTAATAACTACAGTACTCTTTTCGGAAGCAGACTCTCACTGTTGCACCTCTTTTTCTCTTGAGAGAGTGCTCTTCTGTGCTTTGGTTTTGAGGCAGTCTTTGACAGGTAGCTCTGGGTGGCCCAGATTGGCTTTAAACGCAACAAGCTCCTGGCTCAGCCTTCAGCCTACCAGTGCTGAGATTCGGCATCAGCCGCCGCTCTTGGCTTCTCTTTCATTTTCCTACTGGGCTTTAATTGGTTTTCAGTTTTTTGTGTTGGTTTGTTTCCATTTTAGTTTTCAGCTGCATTATACTACTAGTAGTTTGGGAGTTGAGATAAACAAAAGGCTAATAAGGCTTCCATTTCCGGTTTAGGAGACTGGGATGGAATGAGATGTTTTATTGGCGTATTGTTCTAACCTTTTATCTCTTTCCTTACCAGTAAAATGAAGTAATAAAATACTGCTTTTGCTGTGGTAGTTTTTGTGGGTAAATGAATGGCAGTTTATTGTAGTATCTTGCTGGTTTGGTTTGGAAGGCGACCCTTAAACTTAAAAATTTAATCCATTTTAAGAGCAGATTTTGTGGTAGTAGTTTCCCTGTTACTTAATACTTCTGACACTTTTTACACTTGTTTAGGCCCGAAAGGACCCTGAAGAGGGAGAATCATTTTCACCTGTCCAAGCTGATTTAAGCAAAGCAGAAAACCATAAAAGCCCTGATAAAGGTAATCCTAGCAGCGGAGCGTGAGAGAGAGCACTTCCTTGTCTCTATAGAAGAGGACACTTGGTGACTGTGCTTCAGCGTTCTTCTCACTAACGGTTTGGTGGATGTTTCAGAGAGCCGTTCGAGCAGGCTCTATTTAGATAAAGGGGCTCAAGACTGTCAGCAGCTGAAGCAGGTCATAGTGCGAAGTGCAGGTTTGTACCCAGGCTTCTGAGTGTCAGCAGCTAGCACACCGTGGCGAGTCTCACTGCTGGTGCCCAGTATCTCAGGAGGGTACTGAATCCATGAGTGTGGGACCCATAGGGATGGTGGGCTGATACATGGTCACAGTCCTGTAAAGTCAAACCTCAAAATTAGCCACGTTTGCCTGCTGAATGCGTGTTACTTCTGCACCATTATAAAGTTGAAAACTTTTAAGTTGAACAGTCCTAAGTCAAGGATCACCCGCACTTTTGAAAGCTGGATACTACCGGGTAGAGAATGCCCTTCTGCACTTAGTGTTAGGAAAAGTAAACTATTAGGTACTCTTGGCTTGTTAATTTTGCTGTGGGAAGACAGAGAGGCAATGCCCTGAGCTTGCACATTAGAGGTAGTGTCACAGTGTTGGCCTCTGACTGTTCAGGCCATCTGAAGCTCTTCTGATTGTCTTGGGCGGCCTGTTCTGCGATGGTCTTGATATTGATCCGTCTACTGATACAGTCAGCCCTTGCCTTTTCTTACCCTTTCCTTTTTCTTTTGCAACACCAGGGATACGTTTCTGAGCCATATCCTCAGCCCTCCTTTTGCTTTTTATTTTGAGATAGGGTCCTTCTGAGTAACCCAGGCTGGCCTTGGGTCAGTCTGTACCTCAACCTTAGAGCTGTAATCTTCCTGCCTCTGCCTTTTAAGTAGCTGGTATACAGGCCTGTGGCCCAGACGCCCTCCTCATTATCTGTGAAGGATTGGTGTCGTGACCCCTGTGGTCCCCATGTTTGTGGGGACTCAAGCTCTTAGTACAAAAAGTGTAGAGTTTACATATAATTTACAGACAGCTTGGCTTCCTGTATACTTTAAACCGTCACTGGATTACCTTCGTACAGTGTAATGCTACGGAAATATGGAAATAGTTATTATACTGTATTGTTGCAGTGATCAGGATAAAATATACAAAGTGTTTTCTAGTCATAGCTGGTTGACGCAATGGCTATGGTGCCTGTAGGTGTGGGGGGTAATAGAAAATCTAATTCTAGAAATAAATCTGCTTAGGTAGTACCTTTTAGCCTTGGCAATTCAGGATTTGGGGCTTTCTTGCTATTTTACAGAATTCTGTGTAATGTATTCCAGTCAGTGAGTTTTGTCTCTGTAAATTTTATAGCATATCTGTGGAATGAAGTCTTTGTCTTTTCACACTGTTTGGGATTGAACTCAGGCTTTGTGCATTGGCGGGCAAGCATTACACTACTGAGCTGCAGCAATATCTTCCTGTGTTGTTTACAATAGTATATCAGATAGATAGTTTGAATTTAAAATGACAGCGCTCGTTCTCTCTCTCTCTCTCTCTCTCTCTCTCTCTCTCTCTCTCTCTCTCTCTCTCTCTCTCTCTCTCGTTTTTGGAGACAAGGTTTCTCTGTGTAGCTCTGGCTATCCTGGAGCTCACTTTGTAGACCAGGCTGGCCTTGAACTCACAGAGATCCACCTGCCTCTGCCTCCTGAGTGCTGGGATTAAAGGTGTGCACCATCACTGCCCAGCAAAATGACAGATCTCAGCCGGGCGGTGGTGGCGCACGCCTTTAATCCCAGCACTCGGGAGGCAGAGCCAGGCGGATCTCTGTGAGTTCGAGGCCAGCCTGGGCTACCAAGTGAGTTCCAGGAAAAGGCGCAAAGCTACACAGAGAAACCCTGTCTCGAAAAACCAAAAAAAAAAAAAAAAAAATGACAGATCTCTTAATTTGAACTGGTTACAAAGAAGTATTATGTGAATATTTAATTTAAAAAAATAAATACGCTATCTGAGCTAAAGTAGTAAATGTTTTGAATTTCTATGTGGTACTAAGTACTACTAAAATCACACGGTTGAAAGATGAAGAATGAAAATGTTGATGCAATCACAATTTTCCCTTTGTAAAAGCAGAGCACTTTTTAAACGAAAGGAAGCCCAGCAGTCCTGCTAAGCCCAGCAGGGGTGGGTGCTCCAGAGGGTCTGCGCAGCCCTGCAGATCGTCAGCTCACCAGAGCGAAGCCTGTTCCTCTCCCAAGGCTAGCTCCAAGCTGGCACTTATGAAAGCAAAAGAAAAAAGTTCCTACAAAGACACAGAACTGACAGCCTCAAAAAGAAAAGAAAATGCCATTGAACTCAAAGGAGAGAAACAAACTCCTAAGAAAACCAAAAGTTCTCCAGCTAAAAAAGAGGTAGGAACTTTATGAAAAGAATGTATTTTTTGAATATGTGTTGGTTCAAGCTTGATTGTTTTCAGCTTCTACATTGTTTTAAAAAATATATGATTTGGGGAAGAGGGGAGGGAGAGGAAACTGGTTGGGATGTAAAAACAAAATAAATAGATAAAAGTAATTTGAAGCTGGGGGTGTAGCTCAGTGGTAGAGTGCTTGCCTAATATATGGGAGCCCCCGTGTTTGACCCCAGAAGACATTGTATCATTTAAATCTCTTTTTTTTTTTTTTTTTTTTTGGTTTTTCGAGACAGGGTTTCTCTGAGTAGCTTTGCGCCTTTCCTGGGACTCACTTGGTAGCCCAGGCTGGCCTCGAACTCACAGAGATCCGCCTGGCTCTGCCTCCCGAGTGCTGGGATTAAAGGCGTGCGCCACCACCGCCCGGCCCATTTAAATCTCTTAAAGAATAGTCATCAGTAACATAGCTAAATGACCCGCTATGTATTTCTATTGTGTATGAGAAACTGTGCTCATACTCATATATTACATCCCATAGTCTTGACCCTTGAGGCATTTACTTTATTATGTAAAGTTGTAAAGATGAAGAAACAGGCTGAGTTTAGTAACTTTTCCAAGATGGCCTGTGGAGTGGCAGAGCTGGCCTTGAGCTCTGAAGACTGTAGCAGTGTGAGCATTGAGCCTTCAAGCAGTCTGGAACCGGCTTTAGATCATAGCTCTCCTGCTGAACAGATGTGTTATTCTGATCTGGTTACTTCTCCATGTGATGGTGAATAGAGATAAGAGTATGTATTGGGCACCAATGAGATGATTCAGTGGGTAAGGAGAACTCCATGGACATGTGTACACACACACACACACACACACACACACACACACACACACACACACACACTCGAAGTAAATGTAATAAAAAAATAAAAAAAAAACGTGTTTAATGATTAATTTATAAAACCATTTAGAGCAGTGTCTGGGATGTAATAAGTGCTATACATATTTTAGCCTTTTTTTCCCCCTTCCCTGTGTGGCAGCCTTGACTATTCTGGAACTCGTGTTGTAGACCAAGCTGGCCTGGAACTCACAGAGATCCACTGCACTGACCTCTACTGGGATTAAAGGCATGTGAAGCCACCAGCAGAAATGATGCTTTTCAAAAGCGTCATGTCCTGTGCCCCCCCCCCCCCCAGCCTGGTGATACAGGCCTAATAAGTTCTTGAGAGACTGAGTCACGAGGATCTCAAAGATAAGGTCTGCCTGAGCCACAAAATGAGTTCCCCAAAGACACAAAAAGAATTGTCTTTGTTTTCAGATATATTTAAGTTTTGTTTTTGTCGTGTCCGTCCCCCCCCCCCCCCCCCCCCCGAGTGTGGTGGTGCATGCCTTTAATCCCAGACTCGGGAATTCTGTGAGTTCCAGGCCAGGTTGGTCTACAAAGAGAGTTCTTGGACAGCCAGGACTATTACACAGAGAAGCCCTGTCTCAAAAAAACAAACCAAACCAACAGAAGGGTCTTTTTGGACCTCCATTTTGGAAGCACTTTAGATTTCTAAGAGAAACCACCGTTCCTTCGTGCCACAGAGGCCCTTAGCATTAAAGGCAGAATAGTGTCTGTGTGTGTGTGTGTGTGTGTGTGTACCCGGAACTGTGAAATGGTGATGATCTTAAATGCTTTTGTTTGCAGGAAATGTTCATAAATATGCTTAAAGTATCAGTTAACTTTTTGCCCTCAGATTTTTCTTTGCTGAATACTTATCTGGTGGAGAAGTTTTTCTTCAGGCACACTAAGTACATGAGGAAGTTTACAGAGGGTGACTGTTTTGGGGAAAGGAGGAAATAAAAGTTTAAAAGTGATATGGTTATTTTTATGCTGTTTTTCAAAGTTGGGCTCGAAATAACTCAGAACCTGTACTTAGGAACATCAGGGTGTAGTAAATTCAGTTGATCTAGTCAAATATTTCTGACTTAGTAAATGACTGTGCTTCAGTTATGTTATAGCCAGGTGTGGTGATACCTGTAATCCCAGTACTTGGGAAGCTGAGGAAGAAAGATTGATAGTTTAGGGCCAGCTTCTGCTACATAGTGAGACTGTCACAGAATAAACAAAAGACAGGCATGCAGATAATCCAAAGTTATTTCAGATTTTTACAAAACAGAATTACTGTTACAAATGAATAACATTCCCAGTTGGTGTATGGGACTATCTTTTGAAGGTTGTTAAAAACATGGCTTCCCAGGGCACATGGTCTAGGTAGCTATTATTTGATAAGGACCTTCTAATGACTGAGAGCTATTATTAAGTAGGGTTGGGGCTATATGTGATGGTATATGCCACTAATATCAGCACTCAGGAGGCAGACATAGGTAGATCTCTGAGTTCAAAGCCAGCCTAGTCTACATAATAAGTTCCAGGCCAGCCAGGGCTGTACAGTGAGTCCCTGTCTCAACAACAACAACAAAAGGCTTGGATTCTGGTATCAGCTGCAGTAGTTGATTTAACTTAAAACCAGCTTAACTATCTTATTGGTCATATCACTTTTATGCAAATAAATATTTTGTCTACTTCAAGAGATTTAGAGTTACTTTTAACTTAAAAGTGATATAAAATAGGAATTGGAAAAAATAATGACAAGTGTTGTAGTAGTTCTGAAAGTTATCTAGGGGGCCCCTCCCTAATATACATGATGTAGACACACCCAGTATCTGTGTGTGTGTGTGTGTGTGTGTGTGTGTGTGTGTGTGTGTGTGTGTGTGTGTGTGTAGTATAATGTAATTCTTTCTAGGTACATTTCAATTTTACATGATTTTTTTTCTTTCCCTCTGCCCAAAGTCTGTAAGTCCAGAAGATTCTGAAAAGAAACGCACTAATTATCAAGCTTATCGAAGCTACTTAAATCGAGAAGGTCCCAAAGCTCTGGGCTCCAAAGAAATACCCAAGGTAAGAGTCATGAGGATTGTGTTACTCTGTAAGAACTCTGATTCATGGTCCAGCAAAGAGTTAATAAGCCAATTATTTTTTTTAAGATTTATTTTATTATGTATACAGTGTTCGGTGTGCATGTACACCCACAGACCAGAAGAGGGCACCAGATCTCATTACAGGTGGTTGTGAGCCACCATGTGGTTGCTGGGAATTGAACTCAGGACCTCTGGAAGAACAAGCAGTGCTCTTAACCTCTGAGCCATCCCTCCAGCCCCTAATAAGCCCATATTAACAGAAGAATCCCAGCTCTCTTTTTATGAATTAGGCGGTTTTGTGACTCACTGATGGACGCTTAGCCATTTTCCTTAAATAATAAGTAGCTTGAGAAGGGCTTTTCCATTCACCAGTGATAAGTGCAGTGTCTTTTGTCTTCATGGTACTCAGAGCTTAAGGAAGAGCATGTTAAATGCATTAATATTTGATAGTAATTGTGTTAGGTGCTGTGAGAGAAAAGTCCCAGGTGCTCTTAGAAAGTGTAGGAGAAACATGGATGAACCTGGGTGGATCATTTAGAGCAGTGGCTCTCAACCTTCCTAATGCTGTGACCCTTTAATACAGTTCCTCATGCTGTGGTGACCCCCCCAACCATAAAATTATTTTCGTTGCTACTTCATAACTGTAATTTTGCTCCTGTTATGAATCGTGTAAATATCTGATATGTAGAATATCTGATATGTGACCCCTAAAGGATCTTGACTCCCAGGCTGAGAACCACTGCTTTAGATAGCAACATTGAAATGGGATTTGAAGAATGAAGAGACATCATTAGGTGTGAAGAGGTCATGATGACATGGTAATGTGTCACTGTCAGAATGTATGCCATCTCGAAGAGGAGAAGGAATTTGCACAGGATGCTTAAGGAACTCAAAGAAAAGTAATGTCATTGGTGCAAAGTGACCAAGGACAGGATGGCTGAGGAAGTGACTAGGGACATATCTTGTAGGGCCCAATGTTCTGGACTTTTGCCTAAAAGGAGTTTCTTGTTTTAATTTTATTTTAATTTATATGTATGGTAGCTTGCTGGCATATGTGTATGTGTATTATGTGCATGCCTAGTACTCTCAGAGGTCAGAAGAGGGAGTCAGAGTCCCTGGAACTGGAGTTTCAGATGGTTGTGAACCATTGTGTGAGTGCTAGGAGTTGAACTCTGGTTCCCTGAAAAATATCTAAAAACAAAATTTTTTTTTACTTACTTCAAGTGTCTGAGTGTTTTGTCTACATGTATATCTGTGCACCATGTATGTGCCTGGTGCCCTCTGAGGCCAGAAGAAGGTTTGAATCTCCTGGAACTAGAGTTAGCTAGAGTTGTGCGTCACCATGTGGGTGTTAGGATTGAACCCGGGCTCTCTGGAAGAGCACTTAACCATTGAGCCATCTCCCAAGCCCCAAAGAGAATGAGTTTTAAGTATCATTTTGGCTGTTGAGAATAGATTGTATTGGTTAGGGCAGAAAAAGATACAGGTGATCACTTAGGAGGAATGTTGAGAAGGCTAAGGAGTGACATTTTCTTTTGTGTATGTGTGAAGATTTATTTGTTTTTCTTTTATGTATATGGGAGTTTTGCCTATATCTATGTGCATCATGTATTTACAGTACCTGTGGAAGCCAGAAGGGAGCATTGGAGTTACAGATGGTTGTGACCCACCATGTGGGTGCTGGGAATCCAACTGAGGTCCTCTAGAAGAGCAGCCAATGCTCTTAACCATTGAGCCATCTCTCCAGCACCAACTGACATGGTTTTTAATGAAACAGAAGAAGCTTATAGGACGTGGTGATAATTGAAAGTGAGAAGTGTGGCTGAACGGGTACCAGGAATGGCCTGGTGATGGCATAAACATCCGGGTAAATTGAGGCAGAGCTGTTTTGGAAAGATGATGAGTTTGTTGTTGGCCATATTGTGATTGAGATGTATGTGAGGCATTTATGTGGAGATGCTCAGTGGACAAGTGGCTGTGGGAATGAAACACAGAATAAAAACATGACTCCACGTGAACGTCGGCAGTATTAGTGTACAGCTAATGTTTAGAGGGAGTGCTATCCCCGACAGACCTTGGCAGACTGAGACGAGGCCTATCACAGCTCTGTGAAAAGGGGTGCAAACCAGAATGGGACTGAGGATGTGAGAAAGAAGTGTGATGAGGGTGACATCAGAGAAGCACAGGCAAGAGAGGTGATTGAGTGGACGGTCTGCCATGTTGTGGACCTTCCAGCAAAGGGAGGACTCAGTTGTCCATTGCAGGTATAACATGAGTAATGGACCTACTGACCTCGGCAAGAACAGTTTGAGAACAGTGGAGACAGCTGATGCAGTGGCTTGAAGAGTAGGAGGGGACAGATGGGGACAGATTCGTTTGCTAGGTTTGGTTGTGAAGTAGAAATGGAGAGTGGGATTTAAGGGAAGAGGTGGATGTGTTTAAGGTAGGAGGTACTTAAGGTATGCTCCTTGCTGACGGGATAGATCCTCCAGACAGGGAAGGATAATTCTCTGTACCATGAGACTCCTGTGAGGGGAGGAGATATATTCGGTATACATATAGGTTTAGTTTTCATCTTGCTTGGTGTACATGGCTGCATAAGGAGGTTAGTAGTTCCCCTAAGGAAGAAAGGGTAGGTAGGTAGCTAGAGAGAAGGGGAAGGAGCTGGAGCAGAGACCAGCCTTGCCTCCGGTAGCACGGTGTAACACGAGAGACTAAACAGGCGCCTGTCTGGAGACTTGAGGCCAAGTGGTGTCCCTAGGGCACTGCTGTGTTTCTGTGACAGCACGGCTGTGAGGGAATGTTGAAGAGGTTGAGGCGGCTGGGAGTTTCTTGAGTCAGAGCTGTAGAGGAGTCCTCTAATGATGAGCTGGGTGAGGAGGCTGGTGAGGCTGAGGTTGGTTGATCACTGGAGTGATATGTGAGCTCCGCGGGAGAGCACTCAGGAGATGGCAGACTGGGGTTTGAAATGTGGGAGTGTCTTGATGTGGCGTTCCCCAGGGTGATTGGGAGTCTGTTGAGAAGAGTTGAGAGTTCACTTCACTCCTGGAAATGGAGGGACTGAGGAGATGCTGTTAACCATTTCCCCCTCTTTCTCAGTAAATAATAACTATTCTTTCCTTCCTTTTTTCTCCCAAGAAAGGTTCTTATGTGGAGGGTGATGATCAGCTTATGCTGGGGCATGCTTCAAGTTTGTTTAGCTTCTCTTCAAGACTTTTTAAGTCTTTACCAATCTTCATTCTATTCAAAGAGTAATAAGGAGCACGGCATATCATGTATAATGACCATTTTGTTTGTCTGTATAATTTAGCTGATCTATTTACAAGAATTTAAAAACAAAATCTATAATGGTACAGAGTTGTAGTTCAGACTTAGGAAGAGAAGCCTGGTCAGCTCTTAGATTACCAGTTATCTTTCCAGTGGGGATGGATGGTGCCATCTTAGCTTTATGTTTCTTTCTAGCAGTTTCGTAGGTTTATCTCAGGAGGGTAGTCAGCAGAGAGAATGGTGAGGGCTCCGACTTGGTAAGCTTTCCAGACCCAGAGCTGGTCTTTAACAACAGTGGGAGTTCCAGGGGCAGATTACATTAGGTTGTTTACTTAAAGTAGGAAAGCTAATTGCTGATGTAAACATGAGAAGCGGAGACTAGCGTGAATGGGTAATTTTAGTTTCGCTGACAGTATGTTTCTCCTCGTTCATTTGGTATCTGTCGAATGTTAGCTATGTGGGAATTCATCAGGATTGACTCCGCGGTTCTGCTGCGGTCTCCAGCCAGGTTTCATGCTGGGGTTATTTATGATGTCGAGTGAGAAACGTCACCTCATTGCAGCTTGGCTGCCAATTCTTCCTTTGGAAAGCTACCATGTCATTTCTTCTCTGCTTGAACACTTTGGTTTTGTAGGGAGCTGAAAATTGCTTGGAAGGCCTGACGTTTGTGATCACAGGCGTGCTGGAGTCCATTGAACGAGAAGAGGCCAAGTCTCTAATTGAACGTTATGGGGGGAAGGTAACAGGAAATGTGAGCAAGAAAACCAACTACCTCGTCATGGGCCGGGACAGCGGACAGTCCAAGAGTGACAAGGTGGGTCCGCTGGCTCTCTGCACAGTGTGGCTGTTGGTGCTAATGCTGCTGGCCACGTCGCAGTGAGAAAAGAAAAGGAGGAAGCCTGTAGTTTGGCTGTCTCTGCATACCGTATACACGCTGTCGGTCGGGATTACAGGGTTTTGGTTTTTTAGTGGGGAGCATAGTTGTTGTTTATTTGACTTTGTTTGTGTATTCTAGTTTAAACCTTTTTAAAAACATTTTTAACGTAGAGGCATACAGTTTTGTTTTTTAGTTCCAAATTTTCTCATGCATGCCTTACAGATCCCATCTTAAGTTTTCATTGTTGGAACCTGTGTTTGAGTGTGAGGAAGAAGCAGAGGTCTATCGGAAGTAACAAGATATACCCGACTAATTCTTTTCCTTGCCTAACAAGAATTCCAGAGGCAATAGTCACTGGAATTGGTCATTTAGCAGCTCAGGAACTTAACCCAGATAGTCCCACCACCTCCTCTCAGCCTTCTGGGCATCACGCATGTTGATTGTGCTTGTGAGATAGCTTCCTTCTGGTCAGGAAAAAGAACAGTGTCGCTGGGACTGGTCTTCAGGCGCTGTCCCAGGGATGCTCTAGAATGCCACCTCGTTGTTTGAGGAGAACAGGGCTTCTGGTTAGGTGGGCCTGCTGCAAGTCAGTCTCCCTGGGAGTTGGACATGCTGGAGTCCTGTTAGCAGCAAGGTGGGAGATGGCTCCCACATGAATCAAACACAGGAGGGGTAGGAATAGCTGACGTCAGTTCTCCTGGCTTTGTTCTTCCGGGGATGCAAAGGTGACGGATAGCACAAAAGGAGTCCTGCCGTACCCCACTACTACCCACTCACCACTTGTGCGGCTAGTTTTACGTCAGTTTAAAGTCCGAGTAATTTTGGAAGAGGGACCTCAGTTGAGAAATACCCTCACTAGATATGCCTGTGGACAAGCCTGTGGTGATTTCCTTGATTGATGGTTGATAGGGGAGGGCCTAGCTCACGAAGAATGGTGTCACCCTGGGGCTGTTGGTCCTGGGTGCTGTCCGAAAGCAGATTGAGCAAGCTATGAGAGACAAGCCAGTAAGCAGCACCCCTCCGTGACCTTCCACAGTTCCCGTCTCCAGGTTCCTGCCCTGTTTGAGTTCCTGTCCTCCCTTTCCCCAGTGGGGGACGCCTGTAAGCGAGTTTCAGGACTTTGGTTAAGTGTTTTCTCACGGCAGCAGGAACTGTAACTGAGATACCACTCTTTGGGAGTGGGTTTATTTATTTATTTGATAGTCCTGTACATTGAACCCAGGCCCCAGTACATGCTAGAAAGATACTCCACCACTTGGTTTCTTGGGATAAAAAGGATCTTGCTGTCTTGCTTAAGCTGGTCTTAAACTCTTGATCCTCCTGCCTCTGTCTCTTGAATACTGGTATGGTAGGAATGTGATGCCATGGCTAACCTTCTCCTCTTCCCTTCCTGTCTATATTCTTTGGCAAGATCTTGCTTCATAGTCCTTAAAGTTCATTCTCCTGCCTTTCAATCATTGTGTGTGTGTGTGTCTGTGCCCATGCATGTGCACATGTGTGTGTTCAGAGGAAGATGTTAGATATTTTTTTTTCTGTTATTCTCCACCTTATTCCTTTGAGATACCGTACGAACCTGGGGCTAGGTTGGTGTCCAGGAACCCACCTCTGTCTCCACTTTGCACAGAGCTGCAGTTATAGGTACATAAGCAGCCACACCCACCTTTTTATGTAGGTACTGGGGATTTGAACTCAGGTCCTTTCATTGGTGCACCCAGCACACTTAGCTACTGAGCTACATCCCAAGCCCCATTTTTTTTAATGATAATTTTTTTTTTTTTTTGGTTTTTCGAGACAGGGTTTCTCTGTGTAGCTTTGCGCCTTTCCTGGAACTCACTTGGTAGTCCAGGCTGGCCTCGAACTCACAGAGATCCGCCTGGCTCTGCCTCCCGAGTGCTGGGATTAAAGGCGTGCGCCACCACCGCCCGGCCTTAATGATAATTTTTAAAAATTAAAACCGTATGTAAAGAATTTGCAAATAAACAGGTAGTAACATTAGCCTGACTTGAAGTCTGTACATCTCAGAGGTACTTGCATACAGTTATCATAGCCATTCTGAAGCTCTGGAGCTTCACATTGAGCTTTGTACTACATTATCAGTTATATTTTTAATGTACTTCATCACACACACCCTAAACCAAACAGAAAAACTGAAAAATCGATAGCAGAATTGAAACTAGGAAAACAGCTTTATAACCTCTGTAATGCTTCATATATCCAGTACTGTATTACTGGATTTCATCCTTAATGGTAACTGTTTGGTGATTTTTTTTTTTTTTTCTTAATTCCATTGTTGGGCTCAGTAGGTAAGAGCACTTGTTGCTCTTGGAGAGGACCTGGGTTCAATTCCCAGCACCCACATGACCCCTCAAACCTGTTCATGACTCTGAGTTCCAGGGAATCTGAAGCCCACTGTAGACCTTCTTGGGTACCAGGCACACTCATGGTACACAGACACACAGATGAGCAAAACACTCATACACATACAATAAAATCTTCAAAATAATTCCAAATACATTCTGGAGTTTAACTTACAATGTGGTTCTTCATCTACCAGTAGGCCTTAAAATAATTTATTCTCTACAGAAGGAAGTGGTTCAGATGGAGTTCTGATGACTTGTATTTTAATCAACAGGCAGCAGCTCTGGGAACAAAAATCCTTGATGAAGATGGTCTGTTGGATCTGATTCGAACTATGCCAGGCAAGAAATCCAAGTATGAAATAGCTGCTGAAGCTGAGGTGTGTCTAAGACAAACCTGGGTTATTGAAGTTGGCATATAAACCTCGTATTTGATGGGGATGCATAACAGACAGTACTGTGGCCTAGAAGATCAGACTCCCCTGCACCACAAGTGAATTCCTTGTGACCCGAAAGACTGTGTCTCAGGACGCCTTTGGTGTTTGTTTACCTTTCAGGGGAGGGTGACAAATAGTGTGCTGTGTATACCATACCTACTCATTCTTATCTTCCATCTTTTTGTTTTGTTTTGTTTTTTGTTTTTTGCTTTTTGTATTTCAAGACAGAGTTTCTCTTTATAGTTTTGGTGCCTAACCTGGATCTCGCTCTATAGACCAGGCTGGCCTCGAACTCACAGATCCACCTGCTCTGCCTCTCGAGTGCTGGGATTAAAGGTGTGCGACACCACCGCCCCGCTCCATCTATTTTTTTTTTTTTTTTTTTTTTTTTTGAAAAAACAATTACTTAGCCTTGGCTGGTAAGGAATTTGATATGTAGACCAGGCTGGCCTCAAACTCATAGAGATTCACATGCCTCTGCCACTGGAATGCTGGGATTAAAGTTGTGTGCCACTACACCTGGCCACAGTTTTTAAATTTGTTTGTGTGTGTGTATGTGTCTGTCTGTCTGTCTATGCACATGCATATGCACATGAATGCAGTGCCCACAGAGGCCAGAAGAGGGCATCTTTCTTTGGAACTAGAGTTATGTACAATTGTAAGCCACCTAACAGGGGTTCTGGGAACTGAATTCATGTCCTCTGCAAGAGAAGTAAGTGCTCTTAACTGCTGAGCCATGTCTCCAATCCATATTCTGTATTCTTGTATTGACTTTATTGTAAATGTTACTGCCTGAACATTTTATTTTCTGTTCTTTGTTTTTTAAAGAGGAGTTTATCAGCATCTTTAGTGAAAACTTTACTAGGAGTTTTTCAATTATGACAGAAGCTAGTCTCTATTGCCTTTCAACAAAGGTTAAAAAAAAAAATAGAAGAAGAAGGAAAAAAAAGTTGGCTCACATGGCTAAGCTGAGGACAGGATGGACTCAGTCTGCCAAGCTGGCAGTACTGAACCCTTTCATTTTCTGTGTTTACGTCTCCCAGTGAGTGCTGGTTTTCATTCTACCATCTGCCTGTCCACATGGAGGACACAGGAGTGCCTGGATGCCAAGACTAATGTCCCCAGCACCGTCACCAGTGTGACAAGATGGTCCGCCCAGTTTATTCCAGTAGAAAAGCCCCAGGGAATGATGGGGTTCTGTACCCGTGGTCAGGATGCAGTGGGGATGATGGGTTCTGTACCCATGGTCAGGTTGCAGTGGGGATGATGGATTCTGTACCCATGGTCAGGATGCAGTGGGGATGATGGGGTTCTGTACCCATGGTCAGGATGCAGTGGGGATAATGGGTTCTGTACCCATGGTCAGGTTGCAGTGGGGATGATGGATTCTGTACCCATGGTCAGGATGCAGTGGGGATGATGGGGTACTATACCCATGGTCAGGATGCAGTGGGGATGATGGGGTTCTGTACCCATGGTCAGGATGCAGCAGTGGGGATGATGGGGTTCTGTACCCATGGTCAGGTTGCAGCAGTGGGGGATGATGGGGTTCTGTACCCATGGTCAGGTTGCAGCAGTGGGGGATGATGGGGTTCTGTACCCATGGTCAGGATGCAGCAGTGGGGATGATGGGGTTCTGTACCCGTGGTCAGGATGCAGTGGGGATGATGGGGTTCTGTACCCATGGTCAGGATGCAGCAGTGGGGATGATGGGGTTCTGTACCCGTGGTCAGGATGCAGTGGGGATGATGGGGTTCTGTACCCATGGTCAGGATGCAGTGGGGATGATGGGGTTCTGTACCCATGGTCAGGATGCAGTGGGGATGATGGGTTCTGTACCCGTGGTCAGGATGCAGTGGGGATGATGGGGTTCCGTACCCATGGTCAGGATGCAGTGGGGATGATGGGGTTCTGTACCCGTGGTCAGGATGCAGTGGGGATGATGGGGTTCTGTACCCATGGTCAGGATGCAGTGGGGATGATGGGTTCTGTACCCATGGTCAGGATGCAGTGGGGATGATGGGTTCTGTACCCATGGTCAGGATGCAGTGGGATGATGGGGTTCTGTACCCGTGGTCAGGATGCAGTGGGGATGATGGGTTCTGTACCCATGGTCAGGATGCAGTGGGGATGATGGGGTTCTGTACCCATGGTCAGGATGCAGTGGGGATGATGGGTTCTGTACCCATGGTCAGGATGCAGTGGGGGATGATGGGGTTCTGTACCCATGGTCAGGTTGCAGTGGGGATGATGGGTTCTGTACCCATGGTCAGGATGCAGTGGGGATGATGGGGTTCTGTACCCATGGTCAGGTTGCAGTGGGGATGATGGGTTCTGTACCCATGGTCAGGTTGCAGTGGGGATGATGGGTTCTGTACCCATGGTCAGGTTGCAGTGGGGATGATGGGTTCTGTACCCATGGTCAGGATGCAGTGGGGATGATGGGGTTCTGTACCCGTGGTCAGGATGCAGTGGGGATGATGGGGTTCTGTACCCATGGTCAGGATGCAGCAGTGGGGGATGATGGGTTCTGTACCCATGGTCAGGTTGCAGTGGGGATGATGGGGTTCTGTACCCATGGTCAGGATGCAGTGGGGATGATGGGGTTCTGTACCCATGGTCAGGTTGCAGTGGATGATGGGGTTCTGTACCCATGGTCAGGATGCAGTGGGGATGATGGGGTTCTGTACCCGTGGTCAGGATGCAGTGGGGATGATGGGTTCTGTACCCATGGTCAGGATGCAGTGGGGATGATGGGGTTCTGTACCCATGGTCAGGATGCAGTGGGGATGATGGGTTCTGTACCCATGGTCAGGATGCAGTGGGGATGATGGGGTTCTGTACCCATGGTCAGGATGTAGCAGTGGGGATGATGGGGTTCTGTACCCATGGTCAGGATGCAGCAGTGGGGGATGATGGGTTCTGTACCCATGGTCAGGTTGCAGTGGGGATGATGGGGTTCTGTACCCATGGTCAGGATGCAGTGGGGATGATGGGGTTCTGTACCCATGGTCAGGTTGCAGTGGATGATGGGGTTCTGTACCCATGGTCAGGATGCAGTGGGGATGATGGGGTTCTGTACCCGTGGTCAGGATGCAGTGGGGATGATGGGTTCTGTACCCATGGTCAGGATGCAGTGGGGATGATGGGGTTCTGTACCCATGGTCAGGATGCAGTGGGGATGATGGGTTCTGTACCCATGGTCAGGATGCAGTGGGGATGATGGGGTTCTGTACCCATGGTCAGGATGTAGCAGTGGGGATGATGGGGTTCTGTACCCATGGTCAGGATGCAGTGGGGATGATGGGGTTCTGTACCCGTGGTCAGGATGCAGTGGGGATGATGGGGTTCTGTACCCATGGTCAGGATGCAGTGGGGATGATGGGGTTCTGTACCCATGGTCAGGTTGCAGTGAGGATGATGGGGTTCTGTACCCATGGTCAGGATGCAGTGGGGATGATGGGGTTCTGTACCCATGGTCAGGTTGCAGTGAGGATGATGGGTTCTGTTCCCATGGTCAGGTTGCAGTGGGGATGATGGGGTTCTGTACCCGTGGTCAGGTTCAGCAGTGGGGATGATGGGGTTCTGTACCCATGGTCAGGATGCAGTGGGGATGATGGGGTTCCGTACCCATGGTCAGGATGCAGTGGGGATGATGGGTTCTGTACCCATGGTCAGGATGCAGTGGGGATGATGGGTTCTGTACCCATGGTCAGGTTGCAGTGGGGATGATGGGTTCTGTACCCATGGTCAGGTTGCAGTGGGGATGATGGGGTTCTGTACCCGTGGTCAGGATGCAGTGGGGATGATGGGGTTCTGTACCCATGGTCAGGATGCAGTGGGGATGATGGGTTCTGTACCCATCGTCAGGATGCAGTGGGGATGATGGGTTCTGTACCCATGGTCAGGATGCAGCAGTGGGGATGATGGGGTTCTGTACCCATGGTCAGGATGCAGTGGGGATGATGGGGTTCTGTACCCGTGGTCAGGATGCAGCAGTGGGGATGATGGGGTTCTGTACCCATGGTCAGGATGCAGCAGTGGGGATGATGGGGTTCTGTACCCATGGTCAGGATGCAGTGGGGATGATGGGGTTCTGTACCCATGGTCAGGATGCAGTGGGGATGATGGGTTCTGTACCCATGGTCAGGATGCAGTGGGGATGATGGGGTTCTGTACCCATGGTCAGGATGCAGTGGGGATGATGGGGTTCTGTACCCGTGGTCAGGATGCAGTGGGGATGATGGGGTTCTGTACCCATGGTCAGGATGCAGCAGTGGGAGATGATGGGGTTCTGTACCCATGGTCAGGATGCAGCAGTGGGGGATGATGGGGTTCTGTACCCATTGTCAGGATGCAGCAGTGGGGGATGATGGGGTTCTGTACCCATGGTCAGGATGCAGCAGTGGGGACGAATGTGCTGCTCCGTGGTCAGCTGCGGGGTGTGTGTGTGTGTGTGTGTGTGTGTGTGTGTGTGTGTGTGTGTGTCTGTGTGTGTGTGTGTGTGTGTGTGTGTTTGCCGTAAAGCACGGTGTTCCTATTGTCCTTTCTCTGCTCCAGGATCCTGCACGACATTGTGCTCTCCAGCCTCCTCCAGCCTAGGGTAGTCCTGTCTTTCTTTTGAAAAATGACCACTCTATTCTTGGCTTTCTATACATATTGTTAATGTTTGTGAGGTTTGGAGAGTGGTGACCTCACACCTGCAGTAGTCCATTGTGACAGCAGCAGCCTAGCTGGAGTAGCTCACCTGACTGTGTCCCCTTGCCTCGGGGGCATGTGTATAGCAGGATAGAAGTCTTCTGTGTTTCATCCGGTTTTTTTTTTTCCTTCTTCTTTTTTTTCCCCTCTTCAGATGAAGAAAGAAAAGTCCAAATTGGAGCGAACACCCCAAAAAAATGACCAGGGAAAAAGAAAAACAAGTCCAACTGAGAAGGAGTCAGAGTCTAAAAAGAGCAAACTGACTCCCCAAAAGGACAGCCCTGCAAAGGCCACCAAGAAGGAAGCGAATGTGTTTCGGAGGGGCCTGGACTTCACGGAGCAGGTAGTCAAGGAGACGCCTGGCCACAGCAGGGCTCGGGGTCCGGCCGCGGACCGCCGTGGGGACCAAGTGGAGAGCCTGCTCTGGGTGGATAAGTACAGGCCCACCTCCCTCAAGAACATAATCGGACAGCAGGGTGACCAGAGCTGTGCCAACAAGCTGCTGCGCTGGCTCCGAAACTGGCATCAGAGTTCTCCGGAAGAGAAGAAGCACGGTGATTTCCCAACTTAGTCCTTTGATGTGTGTCTGTCGACAGGTAGTGCTCAGCTGCACACGTGGGCAGCGGCTCACGGTTGGTTCATCTCCCTGTCAGCAAGTGTTTACTGAGAGCTTGTTCAGAGCCCAGGGGCTGTCCCAGGCCCTAGTGGTGCTGCTGTGGACAGAGTAGGAGCCCCAGAGAGCTGGGGACTGTGAGCCAGCTGTTAAATGCCTGTGCCAAGTACTGTTGTAGGGGTAAGTACAGGGAGCTCTGGGGATGCTGCTGTGCAGTCAGGGAAGAGGATCTGGACTCTGGGAGACAGCTAGGTGAGGGAGCTGTGTGTGATGTTGGGCAGAAAGAATGACCAGTCCAAGGTCTGAAGGCCTGTGAGAGAGCGAGCGAGCAGTGAGAGCACTCAGGGCCCAGGAGGGAAAGGCATGAAGCCGCTGTCCGCACCGGCACAGTGGCCTGAAGCTCGTTTGCTTTTGGTAGTGCAGCAGGGCTGCCCTCCGCTTTGGATGTCGCTGGGCGGTTCAGGAACGATTCCTGCTGCTCTGGGGTGTCTGCGAGATGGTGCGTGTTAATGCTCTGGAACTTCTTCTCCCCAGCAGCAAAATTTGGCAGACTTTCCAGCAAAGATGATGGTTCCAGTTTCAAGGCAGCACTGCTGTCCGGGCCGCCGGGTGTTGGCAAAACCACAACCGCTTCTCTTGTGTGCCAGGTGGGTGCAGGTGGAAAAAGGTCAAACCTGCAGGAGCAGACAGCTCTTGGGTGGGCAGACCCACAGTGTGGATTGTTCTCCAGTCAGAAAGTCTGCAGAACTTTCTTCGGCTCAGGTGAAGCTTGTCACTGCATCCTTTGAAAAATACCATTATTCTGGCCGGGTGTGGAGGTGCGTGCCCATCATCCCAGCACTGGGGAGGCAGGTGAAATTCTGTGAATTCAAGGCCAGCCAGGTCTCCATGGTGAGTTCCATGGCACCGAACGTTTAAAAAAACAAAGAAAGCCAACAGCTGGCCCACACCTGTTACTCTGTTGGCTGTTACAATAGCATCCATTTTCCCTTAAACGTGGAGGCTGTGTCCCCAGGACCCCAGTAGGTGCCGTAGCTGCAGGCAGTCCAGGGCCCTGCGTGGACCACGCTTTCCCTCTGTGTCCTGCACCATTGCCACTTGGTGCTGGGTAGGGTTCCTCCGTTCTTCTGTGTCTGGGTCCTGGTGCCCTCCCTACATTCCCACTCTTGTTCTGTGGGGCCATTTTGAAGTTCACTGTGATGCTGTGGCAGGTGGTCTGATAACCAGGTATGAGCCACTGTACCTGGCTGACCAGCTGCGGTCTTAAGAGCAAACTTCTGTGTGTGTTGTATGTCTGTCTGGTGTTTTAAGAATCTCTAATATTGCCGGGCGGTGGTGGCGCACGCCTTTAATCCCAGCACTTGGGAGGCAGAACCAGGAGGATCTCTGTGAGTTCGAGGCCAGCCTGGACTACCAAGTGAGTTCCAGGAAAGGCGCAAAGCTACACAGAGAAACCCTGTCTCGAAAAACCAAAAAAAAAAAAAAAAGAATCCCTAATACTATTAAATTAATGTTAAATTTGTTCTCTGTTAGTATCATACTTAATATGTTTATTCGTGGTTTTTTATATGAGTTTTGGAACCTCTGTTCCTTAATTAGCTCCCCCCCTATCATTTGCACTGTGATAGTAACAATTTCCAATATTTTGATTAGGAATTGGGCTACAGTTACGTGGAACTAAATGCAAGTGATACTCGGAGTAAGAACAGTTTGAAAGCTATTGTTGCTGAATCCCTGAACAACACCAGCATCAAAGGCTTTTATACAAGTATGTGCCCTTTTGAATCGTGGCTATAGATGTGGTTTGAGAACAAGTCACTCAGTGTTGTGTGGTGAGCACCACTGTGTGGTGAGCATCCTGGGCCGTCAAGACAGGAAAGGCCTCTGACGAAACTCTGGGAGCAGTGGTTATCTGCTTTGGTCTGAGAATGTGATCAATATGTGTACACACACCTAGTGTTCATTTTGTATGTGATTTTAGACAAGTCCCAGGTGAATCCTGGAAAGGAATATGGAAAATAAATGAAAAAATACAGTGTATTTTTACTGTATGAGGTCATACGGCCTGTGTAAGGCCTGTGGTTGAGGAGGAAATTGTGTGAGGCATTCTGTAATCCACCAGTAAAAGGATGGTATTTGTTCAAAAAGCCTTGAAGAATGAGGGGCCCATTGTGGTTCAGACTGTGACAGTGGGGGAAATGGAGATGTGTAAGTTAAGGATCAAACATGCCTGTGGAGACTTACTTAGAACCTTGGCATTTTTAATGAGAGAAATTAGTTTTTGAAAGAAGTTGCTCAGAAAACGTCCTCTCCCACACACAGTCTCTTTCTATATGTGCGTGTGTGCGTGTGTGTGTGTGTGTGTGTGTGTGTGTGTGTGTGTGTGCGCACATCACCACACCCAAGTTTTTTGCGTGTTGTAGGGTTTGAACTCAGGTTCTTGTGTTTGCTAGGCAAACACTGTACTGACAGTTATCTCTCCAGGTTACTTCTTGTATGTGGCTGTTAATTCATACAGTTGAGCAATCTGGCATTTTTCCTCAAGTTTAAATCATACGTAATTTCTAATTTAGAAATTTCAGTTCTTGGAATTTAGCTGTCATTATACTTTAATATGTGCACAATGTTGTGTACAACACACACACACACTGTAGACATAGACACACACACATAGACACATACATACATATGGAGATATTTAATTATTAGTATGTCATAGCAAAAGCTTGGAAGCATCTTAATATTTAATCAATAAACTAAATTATAATAATATTAATAAGATTATTATTATGAAGTAGAATATTAAATTACATTAAAAAAGAAATGTTCTTGGGGTTGGACATTCCCTCTCCTGGTGTACAGACATTCATGCATACAAAACACTAGTATATCCAAAATAAGTAAATCTTTTTATTATTAGGATTTTTTTGTTGTTGTTGTTTTTTGTTTTTTGCTTTTTGAGACAGGGTTTCTTTGTGTAGCCGTGGCTGTCCTGGAACTCGCTCTGTAGCTCAGGCTGGCCTCTAATTTACAGAGATCCACCTGCCTCTGCCTCCCAAGTGCTGGGATTAAAGGTGTGTGCCACCATTGCCTGGCAGATAAATCTTAAGGGAAAAAAAAAAGTATTATCTATATATGGATGGATGGATGGATGGAAATGGATCAGTGGTCACTGATTAAGTGAAAACCACAAGGTACACCTTTTAAGGGAGCTGCTGGGAAGAAAAATTGGGAATGCAGAAGGGTTGGGAGAGTTTCTTCTCATGGCGTAACTCCTGCAGTTGTTCAAACTTGAATGTGTTTAGAACTTCTGGAAACTAGCAGTTTGAGCGTGTTCCTGTGTTTTTGTCCCGTCTCACTCCTGGCCAGGTGGAGCAACTCCTTCGGTAAGCTCGAAGCATGCTCTCATCATGGATGAGGTTGACGGCATGGCCGGCAGTGAGGACAGGGGCGGAATTCAGGTAACGCAATGCTCTGTCTTTTTGTTTTACTGTTGGGTTTTAGATGAAGAAATACGGGTTATGTGCATGGATATTCATAGCAATTGAGGGCCTTTTAAAAATACTAAAATATATTGCGTAATATCTTGTTTTTTTAAAAAAATAATGGTTTTTATGTTCTAAATTTGCCTTTTAGGAACTAATAGGCCTGATAAAGCATACTAAAATTCCCATCATTTGTATGTGCAATGATAGAAATCACCCCAAAATTCGCTCTTTGGTTCATTATTGTTTTGATCTTCGTTTCCAAAGACCTCGGGTTGAACAGATTAAGGTATGATAATTTTAATTAAAAAACAATGAAAACAACAGATTTATTTGGTGTGTGTCCCTGTGTGTTCAAGAGCACACACTTGTGAGCTCATGCATGTGCAATAGAGTGTACATGTGGAGGTCAGAGGGCACCCTTTGTCTGTCAGTTCTCTCCTGTACCGTGTAGGTTCTAGGGGCCAGTCTCAGGCATCAGGCGTGATGGAAGTGCCTGCCTTGACCCTCTGAGCTAGCTTGCTAGCTGCCTTCGGGTTCCCATTGCTGTGATGAAACTCCGTGACCAAAAACAACTTGGGGAGGAAAGGGTTTTTTGGCTTACACTTTCACATCACTGTTCATCATAGAAGGAAGTCAGGAACTCAAACAGAGGCAGGAGCTGATGCAGAGGCTATGGGGGAGGGGGTCCTGCTTATTGGCTTGCTCAGTCTGTTTTCTTATAGAACCCAGGACCACCAGCCCAGGGACGGCACCACTCACAAAGAGCTGGGCCCTTCCACGTCGATCACTAATTAAGAAACTGCCCTGCAGGTGCCTGATCTTAGGGAGGCATTGCCTCAATCCCCTTTCTTCTTCTTGGATGACTGTAGCTTGTGTCGGGTTGATAGAAAACTAGCCAGCACACTGGCCCACAATTTCTTTTTTAAATGACATTATTATCTTTATAGAAAGGTTGATTTTAACTTTAGATAGTGTCATATTGTAGCCAGTGAGTTTATCCAAGGTCTGATGATTGCCAAATGAAAACTCAAGGATCAGTTTTTGTTTTTTTTGGTTTTTCAAGACAGGGTTTCTCTGTGTAACAGCTCTGGCTGTCCTGGAACTCACTCTGTAGACCAGGCTGGCCTCTAACTCACAAAGGCCCACCTGCCTCTGCCTCCCGAGTGCTGGGATTAAAGGCGTGCGCCACCACCAGCCGGCTCAAGGGTCAAATTTTAAAAGTATCTCATAAATATTTTTATAGAATTGCAGATGCTATTAGTTAAAAAAAAAAAGGTCAATGACAATTTCCTTGCTTGTCATTTTCAGAGTGCAATGCTGTCTATTGCATTTAAAGAGGGTTTAAAGATCCCCCCTCCAGCTATGAATGAAATAATTTTGGGAGCTAATCAAGATGTCAGACAGGTGAGTTAGATATATACTATGTGACAGTTGTTACTTTTCGAATTTAATTTCATTTTTTCTGTGCATAGGTATTTTGCCTGCATGTATGTCTGCACTTGTGTGTCTAGTATTGGCAGAGGCCGGAAGTGGGCATTCGAATCCTTGGAACTGGAGTTACAGATGGCTGTGCGCTGCCATGTGGGCGCTGGGAGAGCAGCCAGTGCTCTTAACTGCTGAGCCATCTCTCCAGCTCTTGACAGTTGTGAATTCTTTTGCCCCCTCATTCTTTAGGAGACCAGCAGCCCTTCCTCATTCTGACATTGTCTCACTGATGTTTCTTGTAGGTTTTACATAATATGAGCATGTGGTGTGCACAGAGCAAGGCACTGACTTACGATCAAGCCAAGGCTGACTCTCAGAGGGCCAAGAAGGACATCAAACTGGTAACTGTGTTTCCCTTCTTAGTTCTGAAGTGTTTCTTGTCCTGCTTGTACTGTCTTTGTGGACAGCATACTTCCTTGATGGACCTGTGAGCCCAAGGACTTGTCAGACCTGTAGACAGCGGGCCAGTGCACTTTTCCTCAAGCGTGGTCATCGTCGTTACAGATTCAGGAAGTGGGTGTTTCAAGGGAGACCCATGCTTCATGCAGGTGGCTTTTTCAGTGCACTTTCTGCATGCATTCATGGCCAGCATGGTTTTGTGCTGCTGGGAATTAGGTGTTTAACCTCCAAAGCTGAGTGAGGTCTCTATCACTTACCTCTGTGCTCCGTTTTGCTAGTTAGAGTGATGATAAGTTTTTTTGTTTTTTGTTTTATTGAGACTGAGTTTCTCTGTGTAGCCTTGGTTGTCCTCACTTTGTAGACCAGGCTGGCCTCGAACTCACAGAGATCTGCCTGTCTCTGCCTCTTGAGTGCTGGGATTAAAGGCGTGGCTCATCACCACCAGTCTATTCCATCTCTATGGCTCTGCCTTTTCCTGGGTTTCATATAATGGGAGTCAGATAGTATGTGGTTTTTGGAGAAAGACGTCTTCTGCACTGGAGAGTACATTCCTGTTCATTTAAGGCTCCATCATGTCTCTTAATGGACTGACCACCCGCCACCCGCTCTTTTCCTTTCCGTCCTTTTTGGTTGTTTCATTGGTCTTTTGAGATTGTGTGGCCTGTAGCTCAGTTAGGCTGGCTTTAAGACAGTGTGTAGCTGAGGCTGACCTTGAACTCCATCTCTCAAGTGCTGGGATTACAGGTGTGTCCCACCATTCCTGGCTGTATTTTTTATTAAAATTGTTGAGTAATAGGCCTGGATATGTATCAGTTTATTTACCCACTTGGTTATTGAGGGACATCTTAGTCCTCCCAGATTTTGGCAGTGATGGTAAAGATGTTGTAAACTGTTCATTTGGGACCCCCAAAGGCTGTGCCTCTCTCCTCAGCGGGCACTTGAAGGTCTCTATTGCTCCATGTCTTTCCCAGGATTAGGTTTGGTCATTTGGTCATTTTGTGCCCCTTCTTTTCAGGGTCCATTTGACGTTGCCCGAAAAGTGTTTGCAGCTGGAGAGGAGACCGCACACATGTCCCTGATGGACAAATCGGATCTCTTTTTCCATGACTATTCCATAGCCCCCCTCTTTGTCCAGGAGAACTACCTCCATGTAAAGCCTGTGGCTGCAGGGTAAGCACTGAGGGCAGGCAGTGAGGGCAGGTTAGGACCCTCCAGCATGGCGGAGGCCGCGCTCTTGTGCAGAGTGGCTGGGAGAGACAGTGTAATCCGGACTAGTTCTTCTCTGCAGGGGTGACATGAAGAAGCACCTGATGCTTTTAAGCCGGGCCGCAGACAGCATATGTGACGGTGACTTAGTGGACAGTCAGATCCGGAGTAAGCAAAACTGGAGTCTCCTGCCCACACAGGTAAGTGGGGGCCTGCCTTGACTGAAGAAAGGCTCTCATGGTTCCTGTAGTTAGGCTTTTTCCTTTTTATAGTTAACATTTTTTATTTTACGTGTGCAGGGTTTTACCTGCATGGGTGCATGCTGGTGCCTGTGGAGGTCAGAAGAGCGCACCAGATCCCTATAAATGGAGTTACTGATGGTTGTGAGCTGCCATGTGGTGATGGGAACCAAACCAGGTCCTCTGGAAGAGCAGCAAGTGCTTGTAACTGCTGAGCCATCTCTAGTCTTTGTGGCAAAATTACAGACTGTTTAGAGAAAAATACACTGGTCACTATTGTCTTTATTTGTTCAGAAGTGTTTTAATGTAACGGAGGAATGGGAATAAGAAGTCTAGGTGTCACTCTAGCCACAGGTGACCATCAGGAGTCTCATTTGCTGTTCTGCCTTAAGAATCTTGGTGCGTTTGTGGCTGTCACTGTCAGAAGGTCACTGCGCAGACAGAGCCCCTCCTAGAACAGTGCAGCCAGGGCAGGAATTGCAAGATTCTTCATTGTCAGTCTATGTGAGGTGCCGTGAGAACAGATTCACTATACACTTGATCTTTAAAAGCACTCCTTTTTTTTTTTTTTGTTTTTTGTTTTTTCGAGACAGGGTTTCTCTGTGTAGCTTTGCGCCTTTCCTGGAACTCACTTGGTAGCCCAGGCTGGCCTTGAACTCACAGAGATCCGCCTGGCTCTGCCTCCCGAGTGCTGGGATTAAAGGCGTGCGCCGCCGCCGCCGCCGCCGCCACCACCACCATGGAGGTTGGCTGGTCAAGGCTGCAAGGTGACCTGAGACAGTTTTAGACCAGGGTGCATTGTAGTCTCTCTGTTTTCATCCCCCCCAACCCCACCCCCACCCCCCGCTTCCCTCCACCTACTTCACCTCTGTGCACTGCTGTGTGTGTGTGTGTGTGTAGGTCAACCTTGAGAATTAGTCATCAGGTGCTGTCTACCTGGTTTTTTGTTTGGTTAGTTTTGTTTTGTTTGGTTGCTTTTTTTTGAGCAAGGTCTTACTATGTAGCCTTGGTTGGCCTAGAGCTCTCTTTATAGATGAGGCTGTCCTTGAACTCAGAGAGATCTGCCTGTTTCTACCTTCTAAGTGCTGGGATTAAAGGTGTGCTGTAGGTAGAGTTTTCCTGCCTGGCCCACAGTCAGGGCAAATCTCTCTCACCTGCCAGTCCCACAGCCGTCAGACCCGACCAAGTAAACACAGAGACTTGTATTGGTTTCAAACTGTATGGCCATGGCAGGCTTCTTGCTACCTGTTCTTACAGCTTAAATTAATCCATTTCCATTAATCTATACCTTGCCACATGGCTCGTGGCTTACCGGCATCTTCATATGCTGTTTCTCATCGTGGCGGCTGGCAGTGTCTCTCTGACTCAGCCTTCCACTTCCCAGCTTTATTCTCCTCCTTGTCCCGCCTATACTTCCTGCCTAGCCAATGGCCAATCAGTGTTTTAATTATTGACTAATCAGCAACACATTTGACATACAGAACATCCCACAGCACTTCCCCCCCCCTTTTTTTTTTTTTAAAAAAAAGGAAGGTTTTAACCTTAACAAAGTAAAATTACATATAATTTGGGAATTTGGGCGTAGCTTCTCTTACTACTTCCTGCTGGAGGGGGGCGCTGTATCTTATGGGGATACAAAGAAAATTTTAGGATCATGATAAAGTCCATGAGGGTGTATCGTCTGAGCCAGTTGCCTTCAAACCATTCTGGATGTTGGATCATCTGGGCCATGGTGTCATTGGAGACCTTTCAGGGGGTCTTGGCTGGTCAAACCTGATGTATCTTAATCTGGAACAAATCCATAGCCTCTGGCTTTCTGTGGGAACAAAAGCAGAGTCTCCTTTCCAAAGTAACATATCCTTATATCCAAATTTTGAAGTCAAGGTACCTTTAAAATATACATTTTGGCATAACTCAACAGCTTTTACAATCAAATATTTTTCTGCAGTTAAAAGTCCCAAAGACAACACAATGCAGATTCTCTGTGTAATATCCATTTTTACGTGGCTTATTTTTTATACTACCTTTACTGTCTCTTTAAAGACTTTATTTTTTAAAACTATGTATTTATTTCTATAACTCTATATATCATCTTTTTTGTCTCTTTCAAGCCTATGTATCTTTTACACACATTGTAAACTATTACATCTGAATCTGTCTTATTGTGAATCTATTGCCTTAAACTGCAGCAGCTGTGGCTGCTGGATCCACCCACCTCAGCTTCCCAACATGGCAGTGGTTTACCGCCAACTCTGGGAGCTATCGTGGGTCTATGCTTTTATCCAAGCAGCAAGTAGCCCAGAAACCCTTTTTTGTTTTGCACCAGCAAAGGCTAAATCTACCATGTAGCTTAATGTGCCACTTGCAGAGGCCTCATTCCCGCCATAGGCAGGTCGAGCACGCACGCTAGGAACCCACCAGTAGCTCAAACCAGCAGCTGCCACTCATTTGAGAGAGACAATTAGGAACTGTTTTTAGCTCCGTTTTAGAATCTTTTCTCAGGTTTTTAGGTGGAAACTCTTGCCACCACATTGGACGCCATTTGTAGGTAGAGTTTTCCTGCCTGGCCCACAGTCAGGGCAAATCTCTCTCACCTGCCAGTCCCACAGCCGTCAGACCCGACCAAGTAAACACAGAGACTTGTATTGGTTTCAAACTGTATGGCCATGGCAGGCTTCTTGCTAAATGTTCTTTCAGCTTAAATTAATCCATTTCTATTAGTCTGTACCTTGCCACATGGCTCGTGGCTTACCGGCATCTTCACATGCTGTTTCTCATCGTGGCGGCTGGCAGTGTCTCTCTGACTCAGCCTTCCACTTCCCAGCTTTATTCTCCTCCTTGTCCCGCCTACACTTCCTGCCTAGCCAATGGCCAATCAGTGTTTTAATTATTGACTAATCAGCAACACATTTGACATACAGAACATCCCACAGCACTGTGCACTGCTATACCTAGTGTGTGTGTGTGTGTGTGTGTGTGTGTGTGTGTGTGTCTGTCTGTCTGTCTGTCTGTCTGTCTGTCTGTCTTTGTGAGGCTATGTGCATACGAGTGCAGGTACCCATGGAGACTAGTCTGTTGGACCTTCCTGGAACTGGCATTAGAGGCAGCCCAGTGTGGGTGCTAAGAACTAAACCAGGGTCCTCTGGAAGAGCACTAAGTGTTGTTAATGACTGAGCCATCTCTCCAGCCCCAAGGTAATAGAGATGGGGTCTCTTGATGGCCTGGAGCTTGATTAGGCTACAGTGGCTGGTCACTGAGTCCCAAGGATCCTCTTGTCTCCTCCCCAGTGTTGGGATTACAAGTGTGCATTATAATGCCTGGTTTTTCCCTGGCTGTTGGGCTCTAACTCAGGTCCTCATGCTGGGGTGGCAAGCACTTTACTAAACTCTCCCCAGTCTCTATTCTGTTGTTTTCTAGGGGAGCAGCTTCCCATACCTGTAATTAGGACAGGGAAGGGGTGCTGTAATCAGGCATTGGGCCATTACTTATCCATAGACTGCCAGTCCACTTTTGAGTGCTATAATGCACTGACCACAAACTGGGTAAAATGTAAAGAAAAGTTTCTTGAGCTCGCAGTTTTGGGAGATGAGTCTGGTGATGGCCTCCTTGCTTAGAGTGCTGAGGTGGTACAGCGTATCATGGTGGAAGGTGGACATGTACTTGATCTCTCTTGTAGAGTATCCAGCATTCACTTAGGAGAGCTCCATTGTAGTGACTTTCTCTATTCCAAATCACTTTGCAGTGACCCCACCTTCAAATGCCACAGTTGGGTTAAGTTTCTACCTCTTCATACCTCACAATGGGGAGGAGAGCTGCTAAAGAAATAGCTTTATACCAAATTTAAATTCTGGACTATGTTTGATTTCCCCCCTCTCCCAGGCCATTTATGCCAGTGTTCTTCCTGGAGAGTTGATGAGGGGCTATATGACTCAGTTTCCCTCCTTCCCAAGCTGGCTGGGGAAGTACTCATCCACGGGCAAACATGATCGGATTGTTCAGGACCTAGCCTTGCACATGAGTCTCAGGTAAGTGAATTAGTGCACTTGTCACTCTGGTGGTAGGTGCATTAGCTCTACTCCGTAAGGATAGTACGTGCTTGAAGATGGCTTGAAGTTTGAGGTTTGACTGTATTGCTCATCAGCTAAATGATCCTGGGTAAGTTCCTGCCATTTGGCCTGAGTTCTGTCCTCTGATGTCAGCATGAAGTTTTTAAAAAAAAACAACAGACCGATGGCAGTTGTGTCCCGATTTAAGGGATTTTTTTTTTTTTTTTTTTTTTTTTTTTGGTTTTTTCGAGACAGGGTTTCTCTGTGTAGCTTTGCGCCTTTCCTGGAACTCACTTGGTAGCCCAGGCTGGCCTCGAACTCACAGAGATCTGCCTGCCTCTGCCTCCCGAGTGCTGGGATTAAAGGCGTGCGCCACCACCGCCTGGCTTTAAGGGATATTTTTAAAAACATCTGAGGTCTGCTATTTTTTGTTGTTATGGGAAGTGTGTCTCTTTTAGTGACATAACTTTGCTCTTCGGAATAGTTAATATGAAAAACCAGCTTCTACCTGTTTTACTAGAAAGCTGACCTAGTCCTGTCTGAGATAGGGACACAGGTTGACACACACAGGAGTTGCCACTTGGATAATGAAGGTGAATACACTTGGAAATGTTTAAAGTTCAAAAGTACTCAAGTTTGTCACCGTTTGTTAATGTTTATAAGTTTTTACAATGTGAAGGATCTGCTTAAACCCATGAAGGCTGCTGAAGAATCCCATTTCCATTTCTGGCCCGGCTGTTACTGTTGGATCCAGATCCACCCTGGTCACTGTGTAAAGGCGAGGCAGTTCCTGGCCTGGGAAGTTTCGGTTCCACTAATTTCCCTCTTGCGACCTCATGGCAAGAGTCCTGTTCCACCCCAGTTGTCTGTTGCTACTCTAACACAATGGCTTAAAACCACCCAAATTTACTGTCTCCCTGAGGGGTTCTCTGGGTGGGCACAGTGCCGTCCCCAGGTCCTTATAAAACGGAGGCAGTTCTGTCAGAGTCAGGGAGATCTGAAGGTGCGGGTCTGTGGCATGGGAGAGGGAGGAGCCCCCAGGTTGTTTGGGGCTCGCTAGGATTACCAGTGTCACTTCCACACCCAGCCTGAGGTCCTTGAGTTTAAAGTACCTGGGATGATATTGCCAGGATAGAGGCAACTATAAAAATTTAGAATGGTGGCATTACAAATAGTATTTTGCTCAGTTTTTACTTTAAGGGAGTGCCAGTATTTGGGAGAGGAAAAAGTCATTTCTTTATTTTATTTTTTTTTATTTTTTGAGACAGGGTCTCTGTATAGCCCTGGCTGTGTTGGAACTCACTCTGTAGACCAGGCTGGCTTTGAACTCCCAGAGATCCACCTGCCTCTGCCTCTGGAGTACTGGGACTAAAGGGTTGTGCCACCACGGCAGCCCAGAAAGTTAATTCTTGATAACATTCTAGTTCTCAGCAGCCCAGAACCTGTTTCCCTGCTTCCTCTGGATGGCACAGACTATTCCCAGCTGGGCAGGCACACGCTCTGCAGTTGTTGGGTTTAGGAAAACCCTGCTCTGGGAGGTTCAGAGTGTAGCCATGAGGAAGTGTGCAAAGGAGATTCATGTACAGTTTTGTCTGTCACAGTCAGACCAAAGAGAGTCTCACACCACTCCTGCAGCAGTGGCGCGAATGTAGGAAATCTCACTGCTGTTTCCGATGCCTTTAGTGTTTGGGACTGGGAGTGGCGTGTGATACGGCTGTGGTAAGGCTAAGCACAGAGACACAGTTGTTGGGGTGTTCGAGTCAGAGGGAAGTAGAACCAGTGTTTGCTTTGCTGTCACAGCAAAGACGTAGAAAACTGCCTTTGAGCACAGTGGGGTGGAGTGCTGGATGTCCCAGTGCCCCCGTTAAACGGCAGGTGGCCCACTGAACACTATTAGACTTGGACCGGCAGTTTAGGGGGGATGCATAGAAACACATAGCTAACTTACAAGTTCTGGTTTATTGGTTAAGTTACAATGCTTATTGAAATTTATATATATATTTAGAGAGAGAGAGAGAGAGAGAGACAGACATTTTCATTATGTAACCCTGTCTGGCTTGGAGCTCTCAATGTAGACCAGGCCAGCCTTGAATTACTAGAGAGATCTTCCTGCCTCTTCTTGCAGAGCACTGGGGTCAAAGGCATGCACCACCATACCTGGCCAAAACCTTTTCACATTTCAGGTCATTGATTCTGTGATTTGAATTCTGTGTTTTCACATTTCAGGTCATTGATTCTGTGATTTGAATTCTGTGTCTATTTTTAGTGACTCATTTTGAATACAGTGTTCTGCTAGTGGTTGAAGAATGTTATTGGTCGGTTGATGATGTGTGTACATCTGCATGCTCCAGAGTGCTTGTGGAGGTCCAAGGATAGAGTTGGTTCTCGCCTTCCCCTTGGAGGTCCTGGGATCAGCTCAGGTCATCAGGCTTGCCTGGCAAGTGCCTATACCCACTGAGCCATCTGGCCGCCCTAAGAGCTGTTTTCCTAAGGACAAAATACTGTTCATTAAAAGGATCTGTGAGATAATTTACACGTTATAAAATAATTACATGTTGAGAAGATAAAGCTTGAACTGTGCCTGGTTGACTGGTGGTGATGATCTAAAGTGGGCGTTGGTAATGGGGTGCCATTGACACGATTTAAAAATGAAGATGTGTGTCCTGTTTCAGAACTTACTCCAGCAAAAGGACGGTGAACATGGATTACCTGTCACACATCAGAGATGCACTTGTGCGACCCTTGGCCTCACAAGGGGCAGAAGGAGTTCAGCATGTTGTCACACTTATGGACACGTACTATTTGATGAGAGAAGACTTTGAGAATATCATGGAAGTTAGCAGCTGGGGTGGCCAGCCCAGTCCCTTTTCCAGGCTGGATCCCAAGGTGAGATGCACTGCCCACCGCCCACTGTCGCTGGTAATGAGCATACTGTCCAGCAGTGCTTGAGGGATGTTCTGTTTGCTTTGGACAGTTGGTTCCGCCTCCCTGAATCTTCGCTGCCTTTCTGGCCTGTGCTTTCCAGAGACGGTATTTCAGGCTAGTGTTCAGAGAAGACTGCAGGATCTGACACTCCAGTTTGTGTTTTCACCTCGACCTCAGGTTGAGGGAAAACAAGGGGTCAGGTGTAAGGTGCCAATGCAGATATGCTCTTGATGGGATGGGATGAGCCTGGGGCAAACGTGAGGTGGGGGTGGAGGGTATAAAAACAAGAACGTGGTTAGGGCCTGAGGGTCTTTATAAAGTTTGCCTTCTACTTTTCCCTTCCCTCTCTTTCCTTTCCTCTCTCTTTCCCCCTCTTTTTCCTGTTTAGTCCAGACTGGCCCCGAACTCCTGATGCTCCTGCCTTTATTTCCAGGCTTCTGGGATGATAGGCGTGTGCCCCTCTTCTTCCTTCCTAAATCTACTTGCTGGCCCGGTATTTGTTCCACCGGTTCTCCCATGAACACTAGCGATGGAACATGACCTCTGCGTGCGTTCAGGGATGCAGCTTTAGAAGACAGTCTCCGTGACTTGTCCTCTCTAGAGTTTGACTTAACGGCATCAGTTTCCTGTTATAGCAGGCATCCACTGTTGGGATGCTGACTGTTTGAAGCTGGAAGCTAAGGTTACCAAAGTTACTTAGTAAAGATGAACAGACTGGTGTTCTTTTCTCAGAACTAGAAATTGAGCCTAGAACCTTCTGTATTCCAGACGTGGACTCTGACTGCTGAGGTCTCTCTCCAGCTCCTTTTAAACTTGTTGTTGTTTTTTTTTGTTTTTCGAGACAGGGTTTCTCCATGTACTTTTGGTTTCTATCCTGGATCTCACTCTGTAGCCCAGGCTGGCCTCGAACTCACAGAGATCCGCCTGCCTCTGCCTCCCGAGTGCTGGGATTAAAGGTGTGCACCACCACCGCCCGACTCCTTTTCGACTTTTTGAGACAGGGTTTCACTGCGTTGTCTCGTCTGACCTCGACTGTGTTTTATATAGTCCAGGCAACCCTCAAGCCTGTGTTCTCCTGTCCTAGTCTCCTCAAGTCACTGGGATTAGAGTCATGTGATGCTGCCATGTGTGCCACTTTCCATGGTTTGTAGTCAAGACCAACTTGAATCTTAGAGTGAGCTCTTTTTGACTTAGTTAGTGGTTCACAGATTAACCACTGATTTTTGTTGTTGTTGTTGATTTGTTTGTTTTTGAGATGGGGTTTCTCTGTGTAGCCTTGGTTGTCCTGGAACTCGCTCTGTAGACCAGACTGGGCTCAAAGTCAGAGATCCTCCTGCCTCTGCCTCCCAAGTGCTGGGAATAAAGGTGTGTGCCACTACGCCTGGCTTAACCACTGACTCTTAATTTTTTTTTTTTTTGAACTGTGGGCTCAAAATTCTCAAATAAATAAACCATATAAAAATAAATGCCATGAGCTGGGGATGTAGCTCAGTGCTGGGGTTGTCTAGTGTGCACAAGGCTTACACTCTAGTAACACATGGACACCAGATGTCTCTAGAGAGACTGAATAGACTTAATCTCTATTATGTATGTAACTATTTTGCAAATAGTTTAAAGGAATTTCTTCTGCTTCTCAAAACTTGAACTCAACAGATGTTAATGAATTGTCCAGCACTCAGGTAACCAACCCCTTTCCTCTGTACTTTAGGTGAAAGCAGCCTTCACAAGAGCTTATAATAAGGAGGTCCATCTGACCCCATACTCACTTCAGGTAGTAAAGACATCGAGACTCAGCACAGGCCCAGCACTGGATTCAGAATACCACGAAGAGTTACAAGAAGAAGACAGTCAGTCTGATGAGAAAGAGCAGGATGCAATAGAGGCTGATGCCATGATCAAGGTAGTGTATGCAGCTACGGGCAGGGGACCGCAAAGGAGAGGAGGACCTTTTCCTCTGGGTAATGTGCCTTGGGAGTACTGAGGTCTGTTCCACATGTAGCAGGGTAAGCTGAAAATACAATTACGTCTTGCTCATTGTAATTGAAGATGATGGGATGGGTTTCATTTATACACACACACACACACACACAAACACATTTATTATTATTTTTTAAATCCATCCATCCATCCATTTTTATGTTTTTTTCAAGACAGGTTTCTCTGTGTAGCTCTGAGTATCCTGGAACTTGCTCTGTAGACCAGGCAGGTCCCGAACTCAGAGATCCTCCTGCCTCTGTCTCCCAGGTGCTGGGATTAAAGGCGTGCACCACCATACCTCACGATTTCATTTTTATAAATTGAATTTACAGTAGTGGAAAAGCCAGTCAGCAGGAACACAGGCCATCGTAGTGACGGTCATGTGCACTGTAAGAACACAGGCCATCGTAGTGATGGTCATGTGCACTGTAAGAACACAGGCCATCGTAGTGACGGTCATGTGCACTGTAAGAACATGTGTGTTGAATGTGTGCATGTGTATGTTTGCTTCTGTTTCTGTCTTAGTTTTTTTCTTTATTTTATGTGCATTAGTGTATGCATGTCTGTCTGTCTGAGGGTGTTAGATCTTAGAGTTACAGACAGTTGTGAGCTGCCATGTGGGTGCTGGGAATTGAACCCCGGTCCTCTGGAAGAGCAGTTGGTGCTCTTAACCACTGAGCCATCACTCCAGCCCCATCTGTCTTAGTTTTTGAGACAGGGTCTCTCCCTGAACTTGGAGCTTGCCGCTCTGGCTAGATGACTAGCCAGTGAGTCCTTGGGATCTACGTGCCTGAGTTTCCCCCACTCCCTAGCACTGAGGTTAGAGAAGTGTATACCTGCCATACCCTGCTTTATGTGAGTGTTGAGGGTCTCAGCTTAGGCCTTCAAGCTTGTGCAGCAAGTATGTACCCACCGAGTAGTCATCTCCCCTGCCCAGAGTACTGTTTATACTTACTTGGTGATTGGCGTGTGCTTTCATATCACAGGGGCATCTTATAGCATAAACAGAAAAACGTTTTAAACAAACCTGTTGCTCACTTCTGTTATTTGCCTGTAAAAATTTCTCAGAGAAAAACTTGGTAATTTGTCTTTTGCTGGTAAAGATGTGAATGAGGCATGGAATCAGCCTGCTGTTTACAGCTGCCAAGGCGAAGGGATGCAGCCTTCTCTCCACCGTGTATGCAGTTCTTACTCCTCCTGTGCTGCATGTCTGTAGGAACAGGCCCTTTGCAGCTGAATTGGTTCCCTCTCTCCTCTTCTCTCCCCTCTTCACAAAATGAGTGTCCTTAGATCTTCCGTGAGAGGCTAAAAGGGAAGTTCGTCACGTAGACGTTGCCGTATCTGTCAGCCACCCCTCGATTATTCTGGCTTTCCTAAGAATACTGTGTTCTGAGCGCAGGAAACTGCCTTAGACGGGGCGCACCTTAGTTCTAGGTCTGAGTCTGTTTCCTCTGTGCTGCCACCTCTCAAGGCTCTAAGAGGCGTGGTTGGTGCTCTCGGGGGCAGCGGCAGATACCTGTGACCTTGCGTTTCTAATTAAATTGTGGGCAAAGATTATGCTGTCATTTCATTTACCCACCGTTTGTGTATCTCTCCTCCAACAGAAAAAGACAAGGTCTTCAAAGCCTTCAAAACCAGAAAAAGACAAGGAGTCCAAAAAAGGAAAAGGAAGAAGTTGGAAGAAATGAAACCTGTTCAGTACCAATAGCTGCTTTTCACTTACCCTCTCGACTAGTCCAGCTGGTCTAGAGAACGGAAGCCTTACCCTTTGCCAGAGTAACCATGTGTAGACAGTGGGGTGGGTGGCCTGGTGGTCCCACTATAAAGGACGGTACAGCTAGACGGGCTGACTAGCCAGCTCTCACGCACCTCTTATAGAGGTGCAGAGGACTGCTCCAGCCCTGCACTGTCCCTGCCAACCGAGTTAGATTGCTGGGATTCAGAGTGACTGCAGGCTCAATACTCAGTCCCCACACGGGCTTTGGAGCCAGGTGTTAGTTAACCATAGCCAGTCTGGGCAGTGGAACGGAGGCATCTTTGTAGCTTAACAGTTTCTCCTAATGGCCGTTAAGAGGACCAGTGCTGATTTTTTTAAAAACATGGTAGTTCTTATTTTATGGTGAAATTCTGTAAATAAACCTTAATACACCACGTGGAGCTGAGCATTCTCGGTCCATTTTCAGGTATCTTGCAGAGTATGAATCAGGAACCAAATGTCCATGTAATGTATGGATCATTCTTAAGACTGTCATCTTGTACAGCCAGATATTATGTTGGTATGTTCCTCTCCTTATTACTTTGGTTAGATTAAAACGTTCGGCATAACCTGAGAATTGAAGGTCTGCAGGTGAAGAGCTCCAATCCCAGCATCCTTTGCACTGGCCACATTGCTGCTGTAGTCTGAAAGAGGCCTCTGGGCTAGTCGGGTGTGCAGACACTGGACTGCCACACATTCCCGTCATCCTGCAGTCTCAGCCTTCAGGGGGAGACCAGTAGCGTCCAGGATGGGTCACATTCCCAGGTCCATTATGGACAGCCGGGAGGTGCTGTCCTGTGATGATGGAGTTCATATCCCTACTGGAGTTTTCCCATGTATCTGGAACTGTGCTTGTTGAAGGACCCTGGGCCATGGATGTAACCTGGCCTTTAGGTGTTTAACTGTTTTTAAATCAGCAAGTGCGCAGAGGACCGACCATGCTGCCTCTGTGAGGTATATGCCAAAAAGAATCTAAGGACCGTGCTCTGCCTGGAGGATGCATGGCCTTGTTGGGAGAGGAGACAAAGTCCTGGAGACATTGCAAGTGTAATAACTAGTGTGAAAAGTGTGTTTCATGGAAATCGGTTCATTATGGAAATAAACTGCCCTGAAGCCTGAGCCTCTGAGTCCTGCCCTCTCTTCTCTGTTGACACTTGGCCGCTGCACTGACGGTTTCCTCACTAGAGGAGACTCCGTGCACATTCATCCATGCAAGTCATGCCTCCCTCAGACGGACAGACATTCCAGGAAAGGCCCAGTCTTCTGCTTGCTTTCAGAACAAAAAAATGGTGTTTCCTTATTTAATATAGTTACAATTTCAATTATGAGTGCTGTGAGCAAGCTGTAAAAACAATTTCTTTTAGAGTTGGAATCTAGACGTGTTGTTTAACACGGGAGACTAGCCGTGGTGGTCTGTGGAGTCCTCTTTGAAGCCCTCCTAAAACATGACGTGAAGGCTGCAGATTAAAGGCAGGCAGCTGTGAAGCCCGTAGAGTTGGATGAGGACCTAAATGTCCTTGTTTTGGGATTGAATCTCGTCGAAGCTCCTGAAGTGGCCTGGGTGCCCCTCGCTGCCCAAGTGGGGAGCGCCGGGTCATGGCCATTTGGATGGCTGTCTCACAGACAGTTCCCCTCAGTTCCTTTTGATAGCTTTTGGCATTATCTGTTGACCTCTTGAAGTTATAAACAAATGACTTCCTGACGTTCTAGAACGGGTGTGCTCACAAGTGAAAGCGGAGGCCTGTAAATCCCAGAATACAACGTGCTTGGCTTCACAGATGCCAGGTGGCTGTGACTCTTCCCCAGTGGGGTGAGGAGGTAGCGGGAAGCTTGGGACTGGTGACCTCTCCTTAAGGTGTACCGCTTAGTGAGCCCCCAAGAAGACATGAAGTGGAGGGGTGAAGGGGGGCCGCTTCGGCCCCAGGTGCTGTAGTTAATGCCCAGTGGCTGGCTCCTGTACGCAAATCCCCTGATCGGTGCCTCCCATGTCTGTGGGCTCTTCAGACTGGGACACTGGCCCCGGGTCATGGTGAGGAAGTGGACACTGATGCTGCAGGGCAAGTATAGACTTCTGCAAGTGAGTGTGGCCTGTGCAGTATGAGAAAAGTCTTCAGCTCTGGGAAGCTAACAAATAATGTATGTTTCCGGGGAAACCAAAGGAGTTAATTTTGCGGTAGGAATTCCATCGTCAGCAGAATGAGCAGACAGATACTACGTTTATTCACTTTGTAAAGATGAACTGTCTTTGGTGTTTGGTTCAAGGGACAGACCCTGCAGTGTTCTGTCTGTCCTGGCCAGACTTTATAAGGGCTCCAAGCCACATCCTTCGTCACTTTCTCTATACAAATCCAGGAAAATGTTACAAATCTAGTCAACAATTTTATTTTAAAGGAGATAAATAAAAAAGTTATTAGAAAACTGGGTATTTACAATGACTATACTATTAACGGTGTGGCGCACTGTGCAGGACTTCGCAGAGGAAACACACAAAGTTCAGTACAGAGCAGGTTGTCACTGAGTAAGAGGGATGTGCTGGGCTCTTTCATCTTTCCGTATCCAGGGAGGATCAGTCTCCAGGTCTGCCGGGGGGCACAGCCTCCTGAGGGGAGATGCCATCTACTCAGGAGCATCGTCTAAGAAAGGGACAAACAGATGCCTTTAGGAAGCTCTCAAGTGGCCTGCCTGTAATAAAGCTGTATTTCCTGCTCATTTCCGGAGCCCGGAGCAGGAGTCCTACGGACGTACAGCATTGAGCTTCCTGAGCACAGCTCATGGCAGGCACACTGCCGAGGCACTCACTGCTGTTAGGCGGTGGGAGTGGTGATGATGCCCCTTACTGTGAGGGATGTGCACATGCCCAGGATGCCTGGCGAGCTGTGGAGATTAAACAGGGAAGCTGGGGAGCAGTAGCAAAGGTTTCTATAATGTATCGCATACCATGAAGCAAGGCCAGGATCTGGAGAGAGCCTGGGAGCTTTCTTAACAAGGCTCCACTTTTAGAAGTGGTAAAGACATACAAAGGTGTAAATCTGAGACAAAATATAATAAGCAACTAACTGCCCAGAGGTATTGGTGTCTCTTCACAGCAATAGAAACCCTAAGAGGGAGGTGATTTCTCTCTCCCTCCCCCTGTAGTAAAAGCTCTTGATATTTAGCAGGTTGTAGCTTCCTAACTAGAGACTACATTCCTCTGCCTCCCTCCTATGTGTGACCCTGTGAGCAAAAATCCTTGTCACTGGAATGAGGTAGAGGAGTGTCTGTAGCTTTGCGTGGCTAAAGTGAGACTTAAGAAACTGGGACTTCAAAATTTCTGGAAGTCAAACTTTGTACGGCAAATAGTCAACTGAAAAGCTCGCATTTAAAGAAAGCTGGCACCAGCTTTAAGGGCCTATTAAGAAAAACTCCATATAGTTTGATAAAATACAGTCTCGTTAGAATTCATGATGCTTGGCTAAATAATGTAGCCACTTGGGAAATATGACTTGCACTTTAACATTGAAATAAGTAAGTTTGTTGAGACCATTGAACTCTGACACTTACATACTACACAAAAAGGAGTCGTTGCCAACAGGAAGAGTTAAGCCGTGTGGCCCCTGGGCTGCGGAGCCTGGAAGGAGTGTGCACGGTGGGGTCCTTACCTGGGCCGGCCACTCACTGTTCCGTCTCTGTCTGCAGGTACTGGGTGCAGTCTGAAATTTTCTTCAGTTGACTGAAGTTTAATCTTTCTGAACACATGGGACATGTGCTTTCACTGTTTAGTAAGCTGTTGGGGAGATAAATGCCGAGTAAATTCAATATATAATTAACATGTCTTTATCTTCGGGTTAAGCTAATGGGAAAATCAGCCACCTGCCTGCACACACCCCCCCCCCCCCCCCTTAATGCATCCATCCACTGAGGAGGGATAAGGACTCGGGGTCATGCAAGATCCCCTGGGAGATCACAAGAGGTTCTTCCAAGAATACAAATGTGGGTCTTTAGGAATAGAGAGTGAGGAGCCCTCACAGGGAAGGATGGAGGACAAACGGCCTGTTTCTGGACCCAGCTGTGTGACCAGGAAAAGGGCACACACTCACATCTTGAATTCTGAGTACAGCGCAGGGAAGCCACAGTGCGGGCACATTGTCCAGTCGTCTTTCAACATGTGTCGGCCCTGGAGACGGAAGAGTGACGTTCATCATCTCAGAAACACTGAGCAAACCACAGCCAAGGACAGGCTCTGACTTAGGACACTACCCCACTTCTTACGGGGGGCAGCTGTCTAGAAAGAAGCAGTCAAGGGCTACAGCTGGGTTTGACTTAGCAGATTCATGTTTAAAGATGGACTAGACTTCGGCTTTTTCTTTCGGTATGTGAATTTTTTTTTTTTTTTCAGACAGAGTTTCCCTGTGTAGCTTTGTGCCTTTCCTGGAACTCGCTCTATAGACCAGGCTGGCCTCGAACTCACAGAGATCTGCCTGCCTCTGCCTCCCAAGTGCTGGGATTAAAGGCATGCGCCACCACCGCCCGGCCAGTATGTGAATTTATCTGTCTTCAAAGTATAGTTTAGGTAGCCAAGGAATGAACAAATTTGACATTTTAGTTTTTTGATAGTAAGTCTTTTTGGAGGATGGGGTTTTGAGAAGGGTTTCTCTCTGTAGCCCTGGCTGTTCTGGAACTCGCTCTGTAGACCAAGCTGGCCTCGAACTCACAGAGATCCACCTGCCTCTGCCTCCTGAGTGTTGGAAAAAGGCATGTGCCACCTTGAACTCACAGAGATCCACCTGCCTCTGCCTCCTGAGTGTTGGAAAAAGTTGTGCGCCACCACCGCCCGGCCCGATAGGTCTTAATGGCAGAAATAAACTATGAGTTACGAGCGCCATGGTAAGGCAGGTGTGGTATCTCACCAATGCAGCTGACCTCAGGACAAAGGTACCAGGTGAGCCTACCAGGAGAAGCAGACTGCACCGTGCTACGAAGCCAGGAGAGCAGAAAAAGCACGCGAGTGTGAGGCGCCTAGCTCCTGGAGAGGGCCTTCCCCCGTGTGCTCTGAACCTCACCTGCTGACCGTGGGGTTTCATGCTAATGTTCTGGAAACTGAGTCAGGATAGTGTCAATGGTGCAGGACAGGTCGGTGTATCCACTATTCCGGAGGAAAGGGACACTGGTACAGAGACACTTACTGTCGCAATGCAGTAGGGAATGTTGTTCTTACAGCCGGGACAGAGCAGCTCACACTCTGGGAGAAGAAACTGGCAGAAAGGGCACGGGGTTGTGACCTCTTCTGTCTCGGACGTATCCGGTCTCCTGGAGAAAGCATCACATGTCATTTACAAACACCACTTGACTCCCTGTCACATGGTGAGCAGAGAAGCAGCATTATCTGGAAAGAACTGATTCTTCACAGGCCCAGCTACTTGCCAGCTCCCTGGCAGCTGGGCCCAGGTCCTGGGAAGATGAAGCGCACTGGGGCCTGACCAGACAGGTCCAGCTGGTGTTCACAAGCACTGCGCTGCACTGGTGTGACAGGAGTGAGTGTGGGATTTTCCCTGTGTCCCTTCCGTGTAACAGAAGTAAAGGCCACCCAGCGCCGTTTTAACAGACACTGCTGGGCTAGTGGGCATGTCCTAATTCTGTGACATCCAATGTGGTGGCGTGAGCCACGTGGAGCTTTGTAGTTCAAAGGACTAGGTTTTAGAGCTTATTCTGTTTTCAAATTTAAGCCACTGGTGACTAGCACCTAGCTACAGGCCACTCCTGTTGTGTGGGGAAGAAAAAGATTAAGTCCAGGCTCAGCGCTGGTCAGTGTGGCACTGAGCCATCTGTCCATCTTGCAGTCACATTCCACCCTAGTCCTCTCTACACTGGAAGCGTCCCTGGGTCAGACTGACTTGGTTTGAGGCCACTTAGGTTGACCAGTCCTTAGAAAAGGTGTGCTCATGCAGCCTTGACCAGCCTCAAAGCTCTGCCGTGGTGTATGTAGCTCCTGCCTCGATTAGCATTTGTGCTGGCAAATTTTATGTCAACTTGACATGAGCTAGAGTCACTGGAGAGGACGGAGACCCAACTGAGAAAGTTCCTTCATAAGATTGGGCTGTAGAGCCAGGTGGTGGCAGACGCCTTTAATCCCACCACTCAGG